TGCCTGCATTAAGAGTTGGCAGTGATATAGGCAACCCTTCAGCCTTTATCCCCCATCTCTCCACCATCTCTCCCCCATTCACGTGTAAAAAGTGGAGTAAAAAGCAATAGGGAGCCGGCATAATAGTAATAATAATAGCACAAATAACAACAATACCGATTCCCAAGATTGGTAACATAATCGGCGCATTGTGGACCTTATTGCTGCCTCTTTTTTTCCATTGTCGCTCCACTCACCCACAGGTCTAACCCGATCCAATCCTATATATATGTATATATCTCCACCGATTCGGTGTGACCGTGGGGCACAACAATAAGAAAAGCGAACGAACCAAGGAGGAGCGGAGGGAAAAACTTGAATCGCCGAGGAGATGCTCGGGAAAAAAGTGAAAATTTGTCCGCGTCCAAAAATTATGCGCTTTTCACACGCGCTCCGAGTTTTAAGACGAAAGGGGTGGAGAAGGGGGAGGAGGGTTAAAGGGGGGCGGGGGGCGTGCCGCTTCACTCTCAACACTTGCGTGTAATTGTCGTGTGACAACGTGAGCTTGCCTCCGCCTGGAAACCTCTTTTTTCCCCCATAGAACCGGTCTGCTCCACTCCACAAACCCCCCTCCGAAATCCCCTCCCCCTTTTCCTCAACCCCCAAGCCATACACTTGAAAACTTTTGGACCGCCCGCTCCGACCGGCTCCGAGTTTGCTTCACTTTTTGCACGGATCGAGGGGAGCGGGGATCGGGGATCGGCGGGGAAATGGCCGGTATTCCGGCGACCTGCCTTGTGGGTTAGCGGGCAATTGAGCCACCGTGAAACGAATCCAGACAATCCACTCCTCTATTGTAACGAAATAAATTATAATTGAAATGCATCGTTACTCATTAGACTTATTGGGTTCACTCTTTAATGTACTGAAGATGCTGCTGTTTATGGGAAAGTGTCCTATTAACACAAAAGGTATAATTTTTCAAATATAGATGTGTAAAAAATCATAAATTAGATTTGATGTGAAATTCAAAGAAATAATAATGTTGATAGATAATCAAGTATTATAGATGGTTTGTTTTCAGTTCCATTTGCAAACATCTTAAAAAAAAAAAAAGTATTTTATGACCTTCACAGAATAAACTAAGAATGTTACCATAAATCTATGAAATTAAACAAGAGCTGTGTGTTAATTGCCATGTTTAATCAAATCAAAGGAGAGTTAGATTAGTTTTTTAGGTCTCCCAAAAGCTTGTCAAATAGAACTTGACCCACTGTGCAACGCCGACGCTGAACTTGGCTGTTGAAAACGCCAAATAAGAAAGAAGTTGGCTGAATAAAAACTAGCTCGGACGAAAACAAAAGTAAAAGTGGTTGTTGTTGTTGTTGGAGTTGGAGTTGCTCTCATTGTTGTCTTAGACTTGAAGTTCACTTTTGTTTCTAGGCATTTTCCTTTGTTTTTCTTTTACAGCTGCGTGTTGGGCGAGTTTTCTTTGCTCTTTATTTTCTTTTTATTTTCTTTCTGAGCGGGGGGACCGGGGGGGTCGGTCATAAAAAGTCGAGCACCTGTCCCCCAACCACCTGTTTTTTTTTTTTTTGGTCCATGCGGTAATTAAGATCGTTCGCTGGCCTAAGTGACGCCAATTAAGTTACGTTGGTCAGCCAGAAAGCAAAAAAAAAAAATAAAGGGGTCTTGTTTGACTTTTAGCCGCGTCCCTTTATCTATTTATTATTTTTGGGTGCATTTTCCCACTGGCTTGCTTCTCTCGCTTCGTTATGCAAGTTCTGCAAATGGAGTCTCGGGGAAATCTAGACGTGCCACCGCCGCTGTGGGAAAGAAAATGCCATCTTCTGCCGAAAACGACAGCCTCCAATTATGAAAGTCTTCGGAGTCTGCGACCGTGCCTCATAAATAATCTGACACTCTTCGTGGGCCGTTAAAATTGAAGTGAAATTGCAACTGATTATTTAAAACTATAGCCTATTTTTCGTTTCAGATTTTTTCGTTCCCTTGCCCAACAAAGCAAAGGCTGATAATATTTTTTAATTATAATTAAGTGTGGCTGCCAAGCGATGGTCGAGACAGATATTATATGGTTTTGGTTCGGCCCGTTAATTGCCGGCCATTGCCTCAATTGGTCCACTGTGCCGCGCATGTAACACACGGCGTATGCGTAATCCGCTAATCATATATCTCGCATATATCTCGCCATTAATCGCATAACTGCTCTCGTTTTGTGAAATAAACTCATTATACAATTGAGCGGGCGGCCTGAGATCGGAAAACAGTCTTCGGGAAATTTGAATTTGTGATTTCTGGCGATTTGCATAAAAAGAAGGTTTCAATTTCTCTTGTTAAACGGAAGCCCAGAAGAAATGTACTTTCCCAAGTCTAAACGGAAGCAAGTGAGTTGGCAAAATGCTAAGCTGATTGGGGGAAAGTATTATTGAAATTTAAAATTTGTTTAGCAATAAATCAATTCAGAGAGATTTTTAGTTCAAATGCAGCAAATTTTAAAATATTGGAAAACTAAATTTTAAATGATTAAACTTTATGAACTATCTGGTAATGCACAGTGATTTCTGGATCAAGTGAACGGGTTCTTAAAATATTATTCTTTTGCGCACAAGGTTTTCTCAATATCCAAAATTATATACAATAAGTAGTGTTCCACTAACAACAATTGATTGCGTATCCACACATAAATTAAAAGCTTGTATTAAACAATTATTTTCCAATTTATTTAACAGACATATCGACTCTACTTTTAATACCCCTTCATCACTAATAAAATGGAGTGCATAATTAATTGAAATGCAACCAGGCAACAATATGCTGCACTTAACTCGACAACCGAGAAATTGGAGGACTGGTTGGTTGGTGCAAATTGAGGCGTTTTTCGATTGCGTTTTATAGAGACGCCTCCAAAGCTGAAATGCACTTGCCGTGAATTCGGCAATTATGTGAATTATCGCACCAACAAATGGCCGTTGTTACTTCTTTCTACTTAAGGCGTTGACAGTTGGCTCCGGTGAATTACTATAAGCTGCCGTCATCGAAGGCGATTATGTAATGGCGGGAAGCGCATTAACCAGTCATTGACACCTTAACCCTTTGATGGCCCTCTGCTCCAGTGGTCGCCACATTTATGCCTGGCTGCCTATTGCTTTTTACGATCCATAAAACATAAAAAAAAAATACAAACACATAGATAACAATATAAAAAGTAGACAAAAATCAAAAGAAAAATTGTATCAAAAATCGGGGAATAATGAGAGTGCCGCCTCATAAAATGCAATTCAACAATTACACAATGGGAATTTCCGCGGCATTTTTGGTATGTACAATGCGATACGATGATGGCCAAGTGCTATGATATATTTAAACCGAACACCACCGAACATTCGGTGGGTGGCTAAAGACAATAAGGCAATGCCATTTCTGCACAAAATTTCGGGTCTGTTACAATTACGTGGCATACTTTACACAAGTACCGAGCATAATACCCATATTCGTCTATATTGGTCATGCATCTCGCGTGGTTCCAAACGGAAAATATATTCACAAAACAAAAAAACATAAAAAACATAAAAAAAAAAACACAAACGGGCAGAAAGACAAAAGCGAAAGAGAGTGCCTTTTTTCGATTTTCGATTTCAATTACAATGCGAACACCGCAATTACAATTGAAATGCACTCGGCGCACCTGTTACGCGTTTTTACCTGCGCCACCCAATTGGCCATGTGTGTAATCCACTTAGCCGTAATATTTTCTGGCTCTTGCGCAATCCAGTCGACCGTCGACCATGATCGGTATTCCGCCGAAGTTCCCGCGGGTCCATCCGATTTGTCAGACGATATGGTGCGTAATGATCATAAACCCCCAGGCGCAAATCGATCTAATCTGAAATCCGAAATCTGGAATCTGGTATCTGTGATCTGGGGTCCATGGGAAAGGGCAATCGGTGTTTTATTGGAGCACCGGCATCACGATCGTTGTGCCATCAATTTGGCAACTCAATGATCTGGCCAAAAAGATCAAAACGAGAGGATTGAATTGATTGATTGGCTATTTTGCCGCGATCATTGATCAATTTGCAGCCTTTTTTTGGGAGAGATCATTACGGTTATCATTGGCTAATGGGCCTTTGTGTATATTAATTGATTTTGCCCTGTAATTTGAACCTGGTATTTGCCTTCGATTTGACTCGGTCCGTGATTAATATGTAATTAATAACCATGTTAGGTTTAATGTCATTATTATACAGTCTACGAGAATATGTTAAATGCTAGAAATTTGATGAGAAATATATGTCATTCAATTTGCAATTTTTTTGCCCTATTGTTGTTTACTATCAATCAAACAATTTTCAACTTCTGATTTTATTTTTCTTAATATAAAGTTAAATAAATTGTTTTAGATACTGAAACGCAGCCGAAATATTTGAGTGCCAAAATTCTTAGTTATTCTTTGAGGTTCAATCTTTGTGTTTATCAAGAAGCATCGAATGTCTTAATCAGATGAAAACATCTCAAAGATTGGAATATGGGTTGGAAACAATAGAAGTTCTTTACATTCTAATTGAGTTAGAAAGCGATGAGCCATAAAGAACCGTATAGACTTTCTGGGTTTTATACGCATACGCATTTCCAGATATTTCTATATGGCCATCTGGGCTGATTTCCCTTTCCATTGTCTTCTTTCTCCCATCGAAAGTGATAACGAGCCACAGGCGATGATATAGCCCAAATATCGTCGCACAATCTCCATCCACAAAAGTGGCAATAAAAATTCTAAAACGTCGCCGCTCCGGGGGAACGAGAATCGCTCCGGTTCCCTCGCTTCAGAAGCGAAAAAAAATGAGAAATGAAGAAAACAAACCTGACCTACGAGACCTCTTCTGCGCTCGTAAACCCGATTCCGCGGTTCCGTGTGAAGAGTTCTTCAGTATTTCGGCTTGGCAACTCGCTTTCGGCTTACTTATCTTATGTTGAATTTTCCAACTCGATCTTGCACTTACCATTTTCCGAACAGACGACTTCTCGGTAATATTCTCAGGTGCTGCTGATGAGCTGCAAACACACACCTTCTCCTCGAAGGTCGAACTCCTCCTCTCCGCCGAAAATTGATTTGGATTTTCCCCGGCGAGCAGGTAAACTGCCCCCTGGCTACCTGTGAAATTCCTTTGAATTTCTCCGGCGATTTGTTTAACAACTTATCGATCGATTAATCACTACGCGAGAGAAGCACTCGAACAAAAAACCAAAAAAACGAAACAAAAAAGCTGATTGTAATTTTTGGCAATGCCAATTTTTAGCGGGGGTCACTGAATTTCACTTTTATTGCGCGCAGGGATGCTGGTGAAGATGCGGCGACCACGGCACACCACTGGCATATATAGCAGGCATATATCTTCCGACTGGATCTCGGAACTCCCAACCGCCGACGAGCGAAACGAAATGAAACTCGAAAACGAATCGAAGCGAGCACCGCCAAGTATCTGAATCTCTGACTGCACATGCGCGCATGCGCCCACGAACTGAGCGCTGCCCGTGGAAAATGCGGCAGGTAAGGCGATCCGCCGGTCGGGAGAGAGTGCCGCTTCCATAGAAGAGAAAGAGTGTGAGAGAGAGAGGGAGAGAGAGCGAGCGAGGGAGTGAGAGTGAGAGCGGTGATCGTGACGCGTCTGCTACGTGAGCGGCATTCGCTCAAAGGCAACATGCAAAATGTTGCAAATATCTGTGACAACGACTGCGGCAGAGGCATTTGCATCCGCAGCAGCAGCAGCAGCAGCAGCAGCAGCCATTAAGCCGAAAAAGTATAGATCTGGTCAAAAGGGTCATCGGAGGCCCAATGGAACCCAACTCGAGCTCGGGGGCACGGCTCCCTTGCAACACTGCCAATTAAACTCGGGTTCGGAGAGGCTTCCAAAAATATCTGATTTATCCTATGATAACGCAAAAAGTTAGAGATCTCTATGGAAAATATTTTTTCTTTGCTGCCAAATAAAACAAAATGCAATATATAGATAATATAAAAAGTTATACCGTTTATCAAGCATTTACATTTTGAACATCGCTGACAAATACTTTTTGGGTCTTTAAACAACTAAAAAAAACCATAAAGGTCTTACAAATATTGTATACTTTTTGTAAGAAAGTTATATAATTGTTGTTACCTCCTAGCTTAAATGGAAAAGATTTAGAACACAGTGCTTTAAAATACACACCCAAAAATATTTTCTTCTCTTTAATATTTATATATTATTTATGTAATAAGCAAACAAAAAGATAGCATTTGACCCTCAGGGATCAAGGTTTAAAAAATAGTGCCAAAAGGCTTTTCCATCTGAAAACAAAACAAATAAACTGGGTCGTTGCTTTGAGTTACGAAAATCAGAGTTTAGTAATGGACTTATTAAGTGACCCTTTTTGCCAAACAATTAGTTAGAGGAAACCAGAGGTCTAGTTGGTTTAATGATATTTTTCAACAGCAGTTAATGCACAAAAGTCACTGAAGTCAAATCGCAAGGCTTTGGTTTATGTTCCAGATAATTATTACTTAAACTGCATTTTTAACCGATTTACATTTAGATTCAGAATTATTTTTATAAAAAATGTTTTTTTCTAAATAAATAATCATTGAGTAAATCAATAAGTAAATTGCAAAAGTAAAAGGCATATTTTACGTACGTATTGTTAATTAGTTTATAAATTATCGAGTCTTGATTGCTTTGTGACTTGCAATTGCTACTTTCCCACTTGCCTTTCTTAAGAGTTCCAATTCCCTTTGAGCACCTACACTCTCATCCCGAAGATTTCCTCAATTAGGAAGATTTTAGCGACATTAGCTGATCGATGGATCGGTCGAAATGCCTAATACCTATTACCAACAGCCAGTTACATTGCGCACATTTACATTTGCCGGAGCGTTGACAATTTTCTTAATTTCCAAATCATGATTACGGCGCTTCGTTACTCAACTGCAGTTTCTCGTCGGTTTTGGCCGGGCTTTTACTAGGAAGCTGCTGCCACACATAATCTTAATGGGCCTGCGGTCCAGAGAAGCATCGCATTTGCGATGACAGCTCGCTCGCATAATTGTACAACATTTAAATGTTGATCTTGACTGGCACCGCCGACTCGGCCCAAATGAGATAAAGGTAATAATATAAAAACACAAAACACAAAACTCGGGCTGGAGACAACGTGTAAATGTGCAAATGACATAACAAGTACGAGTCTCGGCTAGCATTCAAATAAAGATACAATTGTATCTGCCCATTTATCTCTCCCCCAAAAAAAAAAAAAAATGGGTGACGGTTGTCCCCACCCAAAAGCCAAAATCACAAAGTAAAAAAGTCACCAAAAAAAAAGGCAACAACAAATAAACCGAAACAGAAATGTTCGCACGCAAATGTTTGTCGTCGGTGCGTTGATTGTTTCCCCCAGTTTGCACAAATGAAAGTGGTCAACAAGAGCGGTCCACTGTTCGAGATGCAGGATGGGTAATACCGACCCCGATACCGCTATCTGTGTACACTGCGAAAAAGAGGAGTGCAACCAGTCAATATTGACAGTCGGCATGGTGCGAAACGATCCAAAGAAGATGCCTGTGACTCCGAAGATAATGCTGGCCGACAAATTTGGCAAATAACATTATTTGCTATTATTATTGAGCTTGAAAAACGAGTACCAAGCTCATACTGTGACGTATTGAAAATCTATCATAAAGAGGTTTAACCCTTAAACCCTTTCTCAAAAATAAGAATAACAACTTTTTTATTTTTGGTGAATTTCTCAAAATGAATCCTTGTATACCTTGCACATTGCCAAAGGCAATTTTAAAGTATACCTAAGATTTTGTGGAAATGCACTTCTTAAATTAAATTATGTTTTTCTTGTTGCAGTTATTGGCATTTGTCAAACCGTTTCGAAAAGGTGACCCAGATTCTTACTGAATTAACAACATAAAAAGTTATTTAATTCAGTTTTTTAAGTATTAAACCTTTTTTGTTTGATTTTTAGCATAAATAATCGAAAACCTACTTAGCAAAGTTATGATCAACCAATTAATGTGTTTGTATCCTTCCAAATGATTTGGTTTAATATGTGACAACTATTTTTGCCTATAAAACTGTACTGAAGGAAACCTAAACGTCACTTTTTAAGTGCCATACACCTCCGTTTGATCATCTTTTCTTGGTGTGTATGCAAAGTGAGTTGACTATCCATTTGCCTATGACCGTTTAGGGCCAAATGGCAACCACTTGTGTGCCAAATGGCACTACACACGTATCCAGGCACTGTGATTAGGATTTGGATGAGGATGAGGCGATGCAAATAAACGGATGGATGGATGAGTGGATGGCGGAGGGGCAGTACGTGCCCGGACTGCCTACAAAATGCGAATTTTGGCCGGAGTGTTTGGCCTGCTTTAATTGTCGCCGCCGAGTTGCCGCCGAAAAGGCATTTTAACGAGCTACGCGCATGCGCAATTGTCCAACCGAGTCCGTCGCTATTTTTTATGCAACTTCTCGGGCAGCGGACCGAGCCCCATTTCGCCCGGTGAGAGACTTTCACTCATTTGGGAATTCATCGGGTTGTGGCCGTATAACCTGCACATTTATCGCACTCATTGCAGATCCCACCAGCGAACTGAGTCCATCGGATGACCCGTGCTCCGCCATGCGGAAGTTTATTAACCCATCGCAACCACCCACTGATCAAGACCAGTGACCAAACCACCGACAAAGACAAACCACCGAGAAAACCACCAAAGAGAGACACGGAACCACCAGATAACTCGGGTATTTTTCACTCATTATCGCCATGAATTGAACGGCACGTGATTGAATGTGAGCTTCATGGCGGCAACGAGTTTGCTAAGAAACAATATTTCATTTAGAGGAGCAATTCAATGATTTTGGAGGAAGCAGCATTTATCAAAAACTAAAGCACATTTAAGTATTAATGATAACTTAAAAACAATCAACCTATTGCGTATTTTTTGCCAAAGTGTCATTAATCAATTAAGTCATAAAAGGGAAAATAAGTAGTAATTATTTATATTTGACAAAGATTAGATTGTGTTCGGGGAATTCTTTATCGATTAAAAGGCCTTCCCACGTTGGCTTCCAAAAACCTTTTTACCTTATTTACGACACATTAGTTTTGATTAAAGAGCTCTTAAAATCTTACAGGAACGCGATTATAACTCTAAGTCAGGAAATAAAGAGTTTGCAAGAAAATGGACAAAGTCAATTCAATAAAAAAAGGACAACAACTTCAACAAAGAACACAATACCTACCATGAGTCTCATTAATCAAGACAATTTGAATTTAATCAAGCCTAAACAAATAAACAATCACATGATTTAATACTTCAGGAACTCGTATTTATTTCCTTCAATGGAAACGTTCGCCTTTATTACTTCTAAAGAAAATTCTCATGCTGAATAGAATTTTTTTTATTTATTTAACTTAATTTCAGAAGAGATAAGAGGCATCTCCAGGAACTCAACGTTAATTCCCCCTGGTAAATCATAAAGTTCCAGCCGGAGAAGAGCAGCTTCATTGAAATATGAATGAAAGTAGCAAATTCCTTTCAAAGAGATTAGATAATATCTCGAAAAATTATAAAGTCGAGGTTCAATGAATGATAAACAGAAACCAGACAATTTTCTTCCAAACCAAAAAATTCAATAGTTTTTAAATCTTATACTGATTCTTCTTCATTATTTAATTCTTCATTATTTGATTTCAAGTTCAAATGGCAAAGAGATGATATGTGACCAGGAAATCGATTCGGCGACATCTTCGCAAGACTAATTTTTCATTCGAGGACTGGTCAAGCGTTAATGACAGACGATTAGATAATGGAACCTTAATGGGCTGACTTCTTATCGCCTTGATGGATAATGCGAATGAAATTGGAATTGAAATTGATATTGAAATTGCCGTCATACGGAACCACTTGACAACCCATCAAGATGCCAGATATGATTTCAAGTAAATTAATAATAATTAAACTAGAATTTATTCACTTCACAAACGAACAAAAAAAAAAGGTAGTCACATTGAAAAAAAAGAAGTCAGGAAGTAAATAAATGCTGCAGGTTGCTTAATTGCTAGCTGCTTTTATTTCTACTAAGCAGGGCATTTGTAAGACTTTGAGCATACGCCGTTTACGGGGTCAAAGTTCATTTCCTCGGGACACTTGAGGACGTACGCATTGAGCTCATCGGTATTGGCGTAGCTGCAGCAAATGAACGTCGAGCATGTGCTGTCCATCGGGAAGAATCCGGTGGTGGCGCACCGGTGATCATCATCCTCGGTGGTGATGGTCACATCCCCGGAGTCGGTGGTCTTGTCATCCGAGTCATCGGTCACGGAAGTAGATTCATCGGTCACTGGTTCATCTGTTACGGTTTCACTGGTCACTGGTTCATCGGTGTCAGTTTCATCGGTTACTGGGGAATCAGTGGCTGGTTTTTCGGTTGTGGAAGCATCTTCAGTAGTTTCTGCCTTCTCGGTGGTTGATGCATCTTCAGTAGTTTCTGCCTTCTCAGTGGTTGCAGGTGCTTCAGTGGTTGCAGGAGCCTCAGTGGTTGCAGGAGCTTCAGTGGTTGCAGGAGCTTTAGTGGTTGCAGGAGCTTCAGTGGTTGCAGGAGCTTCAGTGGTTGCAGGTGCTTCCGTTGTGGGAGCCGCGGTGCTCTCGTCCATGGTGTCGGGAATGGTGGGGTTCTCGATGTTGCTATCCTCGCGAGCCTCGTAAAGTTCAATGGCCGGCATGCGGATGCACTGGGCCACCGAGGAGCTGAAGACCAGACCCGAGGGGCAGCGCAGGAAGCGAACGGAGTAACCACCGTAACCGGTGGACTGGCAGACGTAGTAATCCGGTGTGTTATCCACTACGGCGAAGTAGCCGCTCCGATGGCACAGCGACTTGGCTTGGACCATCGAGGGTGCCAGGACTTGGAGGAGGGCCAGGCCCATCAGCATCGTTAGCTTGAACATCTCCTTTGGGGTTTTCTTTTTCGCTTTGGGTTTCGTTACTTGGTTCGACGGACTAACTGATCGGCCAATTGATCGGGCTCTTTTATAGCCAGGCCCGAAAAGGTGCCGGGGGCAGTCTTCAAGATTGCGTTCGATTAGCTGATAATGAGGGAATTCAAGACCCGGTGCGTGAATACATAGAACCCACTGTCGATGATAGTGGCCAAAAAGTCTGGCGATGTGACTAAGCTTCAGATAAGGATCAATATACGAGTATGTGGCCATGCCCTCGGAAACAACTTATCTCTGGTGAATTGGAAATTCCCACTTAAAGTCCTTTGTTTAACTTTTATCTTGTGAAAGGAAACCTCAAAAAAAACGTTCAAACTTGGAAAATTATCAGAAGGAAATAAGCTGATATATATATAGGTATAAAAATAGAAATAAGAAATATGAAAAAGAAATAACAACTCAGCTATTTTTCCGTCTTTTCTAAAATAAATTAATAATTTTACTTATTTTAATATCCTTTTAATCGCCTAAACTTCCTTTAAAACCCGTTTCCCTTTGCATTAGACTTTTATTATCTACTGTGCGTAAATAGCACATAGTTCTTTCTCTCTATAAATATTTTAGTTTCCGAATAACAAAGCAGTAAATTTATCTTTTTATCTTTCATAATGTTGTCCCAAGAAGCAGTAAAACTTAAAAGTAACAATAAACCTGGAGGGCTTATCTACTCTAAAGTTTCCCATTCTTTTCACACCTGTTCAAGCTTTCCAATCTTTTCTGCATACCATAAACCCATAAAAATATATGGTAAATTCTAGTGGCAAAACACAAACACATAAGAAGGTCAAGAACATTATTTTTTTGGTCCTGCCTCAATGGAGAATATCTTGATTGTTTTAAATTTCACAGAAAAGAATTGGAAAAGAATTTCAGATTAAGCTTTCAAATCTTTATTTTCACCACGAATCAAAAAAAAAGGTTAACAAAAAATAAGAATAATAATTTTTACTTGACTAGAGCAATGGACCAACATAGATGGAAGAAGAGGGTTCAACTGGAGGTCAAAGCCTACTCCTCGGATTCGGGGCTCTCGGCGGACTCGCCCTTGGCCTTCTCCTTCTCGGCCTTCGCCTGCTGCTTGGCCTGCTCCTTGGCCGCCTTCTTGGCGGCCTTCTCCTCCGCCTTCTGCTGCTTCTTGGCCAGCTTCTCCTGCTCCTTCTTGGCCTTCTGTCGCAGCTTCTCCTCGATCTTGTACTGCTTCAGTTCCCGCTTGATGGCCGCCAGGTCGCTGACCTCCGTTGCCTCCTGTCCAGGCACAATTTGCGTCCAGTCGTAGCGCCAGCATCCGCCAATCAGGGGCTCGAATCTCTGGCCGCTGGAGCAGCGCACAATGAACTTGTGGAAGCCGCCCTGCAAACTGGCCACGCAGTTGTAGTAGTACGTCTCATCGTGTCCAGCAAACCTGCCCACGGCCAAGCACTGGAAGCCATCCCACTGGCACTCGGCCAAGTCCCTCACGCATCTGCCGGCAGTTGGCGAGAAAACCGTGGGCACCGGACAACCCAGCTCGATGTCCTGCAGCTGGTGGAGCACTGGGTTCAGCAGGCAGTTGTGGTAGAGCCTGCAATCGCCGCTGGTGTGGGGAAAGAGTCCTGCCGTCTGGCACTCAAAAGGCGGCGGAGTGGGTGCAATTGTGGTCTCAGCGGGGGCTGAGGAACTGGAGGAGGAAGTGGAGGTGGAACTGGAGCTCTCTGCCTCAGTGGTGGTTTCTTCGGGAGCGGGAGATGTTTCTTGGGGAGCAGAAGAGGATTCCTGGGGAGCAGAGGAGGTTTCCTGGGGAGCAGATGAGGTTTCCTCGGGAGCCGAAGAGGTTTCCTCTGGAGCAGCAGATGTTTCTACGGGAGCAGCAGATGAGGTTTCCTCGGGAGCAGAAGAACTTTCCTGTGGAGCAGATGAGGTTTCCTCGGGAGCAGCAGATGAGGTTTCCTCGGGTGCAGCAGATGAGGTTTCCTCGGGTGCAGCAGATGAGGTTTCCTTGGGAGCAGAGGAGGTTTCTGCGGGAGCAGAAGAACTCTCCTGTGGAGCAGAAGAGCTCTCTTCGGGAGCAGAAGTGGTTTCCTCGGGTGAAGTCTCCGGGACACCAGTGGTGGTCTCAACTTCCCCAGTGGAGCTATCCGATTGGGTGGTTTCCTGCTCGGCCGCCGTGGTTTCCTCATCCGAAAGCGTTGTGTCCCAGGCATTGGTGGTGCTCTCCCAGCCGCTGCCCTCCTCATCTCCCGGCTGAATGGTGGTGGTGGTCGCATCGATCCAGGGCTCCGGCTTGGCCACATCCTGCTGGGCCGCCGAGCCGTCGCCGCTGAGCGCCAGGATGCCGCAGGACTTGGTCAGCAGCTGCAAGTTAGGAATTGTCAGGTGTTGGCTCAATCCCGGGCACCTCCTCGCTGGTGGACACTTACCAAGGCGGCGCAGAGCAGCAGGATGGTGGACAGGTTGCACATTCTACGGTCCGTCATCTTTCGCACTGTGAATGTAGTGGTGCTGGTGGTGCTAGTGGTTTCTTGTGGTGTCGTTGTCATCGTCGCCAGTGGCTAACGTCGGTCGATCGTTGTGTGAGCTGCTGGCCGAGAGCACCGCCGATTATATAGCCCGATCCGGCCGGGATGCTGGGTTGCCTTATCGGGCTTAGCACCTCCGCCACTTCGCCGACTTCGGTATCTGATAGATAGACAGAAGACAGAAGACGTTTCGTATATGGGTGCAAATAAAATGGGATGGCGTTTGCCGCTCTGACGTCGTCCGGTGGTTTTTGGGTTGCAAAATACAGTTGTAAAACCCAAAGCAAAAGGGAGGAGGGACACTGCTATACACCGCGGATGTGAAACGGAAGTGTGTAAAGATAACGCTCAGTGTAGCCGAGCGGGGAGGTCAAGTGGTCGGAATGGCAGTCGCAGATAAATCTGTTTGTCCGGTGTTTTTTTCATTCGACGCTACTGTTTTTGTTTTTCGATCTTTCCACAGGAGATCCACAACAAAGATCGTGACGCATCCGAATCTCGGCATCGCGATGGGGTGATCCGCAGGTGACATTCGATCTTTGTTTTGTAGAACAGCTCAAAAAGGTTTTCTGTTAAAATATTTTATATGATATTTGATTAAGGTTTGAATAAAATCATTTAGCGACGTCACACAATTAAAGGAATTTTCTATACATTATGAGTTAGCACTTTATGTTCAACTGAATGGCACGTCTACTCCTTATCTAAATACATGCACATTAAGATAGAAGATCTCTAATTGGATTCTTTCTTAGGAAACGAAGTGCAGATCTGAATCATCACTTGCTAAGCTTAATTATAATTAAGATCTTGTTTATCAAAGCATAACTTGTCTAAAAATAGTCGAAATTTATTACCTTCCGAATCTCAGCTTATCAGTACTCCATCACAAAAACTAGATAATGTTTTGTCCAAAATCATTCTGGAAGTTTTAACTCTGAGTTAAAACGAAAATAACAAAAATATATGCAGAATATTTATAATACTTTGAGAATGAGTCTGAGTCACCTTTCTGCAATGTTTATTAAAACGTATAAGGAACATAGCCACATGTTTCGCAAAAAAAATTATAAGTTACCTAAAATAAGTTAGTAGTAGGGTCTAATTTGGCATAAGGATAGTTAATAAAAACTATCATCAAATTAGCAGTTAACCATATCGAATTGCCTAGGCATTAATATATTTTTTTGGGTGTATCTCTTAAACCGAATGAAGGGCAATAAAAATTATGTAAATAAATAAAGCGTTCATACAATTATCATATCCACGCTATTCAATTTCTAAGGAACCGCAACCATAACATTTTCGCTATCTAATTTCAAAACATATTGCCATTGCTTCGAACTTGAAAGCATTCTTCTTTGTTAAACATAAAGTTATAGGAGTTATGTAAATGAGGTGTAAAAGTGAATTGTGTTTACCAATTGTAATCAGAATTTTCGGCGAAATCAAATCACAATCATTCTATCGCTATCCAACTTCGGTGACCCCGTTTTGGGTCGACCGCCCACCAGGTGGCCACGGATGTGAAGTACTCATCGCCCGTCACCCAATGCCCGGTGCCTAGGGTGACTATTTATCTGCTCCAACTGGTTCTGGTGGCCATAAACATAATCCTCCGCTGACGCCGCTGCTCGCCAACTGAATTGCAGGCAAACGCTTTACATATCTGACGTTAATCTCACGGATACACGGCTACACGGCCACTCAGATACACACAGAACAGAAACACAGCTGCGCAGATACACTTGTGCAGTGTGCTGTGGACACAGATATCACTGTATCTGGATATCTGGATCCATCGTGATAAGAGCCCCGATGTTATCAGCCTGCCTCTCCGGCTCTCCGGTTCTCCGAAGTCTCCCACACTCTCGATCCAAGCTCGTGTGGGTGTATTGTTCGCCATTATCTAAACGGTTTTCGGTGGGGTTTCGGGTTGAATGATGAATGCCAACGGCTAGACGGAGCGCACACACAAATTCCAAATTCCCAGCGAACGGATTCGGATCAACTGCAGCCAGTTTAGCCAGGTGGTTGGCTAGTCCAAACAACAGAAATCACATCCATCGGCAAAGAGCAACTGAAGTTCCAATAAAGTTTAAGCAAAGCCATCTAGATATCTAGATGGCAACCTCAGCGATGAGCGGGGTGGGCGTTGGCGTGGGCGTGGCCAGCTCGAGTCCAGTGCGAAGATCCACCGCCAGAGCCACAGCCGGAATCCAAAGACGCCGGGTGGTCAAGAAGCACATCCAACAGAAGTACATGCTCTGCGGATTTGCCATACACGTAATTATCCACACGGCAAATCTCTTTCTCAGTTCCATTGAGTAATGGGTTTTTAATATGTTTTCCTTTTTCTTTTAATAGGCTTTCCTTGCCACCCCCGCTTATCTGTACGGCAATGTGGTCGAATCGGATAAGGATTTGGTGCTGAGGATCTGGCCGGCGATTGTTTACCAGGCCACCGGAGAGCTATGTCGCTCCATCATGGAGCATCTGGACACAGAGTACAGTGGCCGATCGAGGGAGACGACCCAGTACCGAAAGGTCTTCCTCCTGGCCACGCTCATCGCCTGCGTCTCGCTGATGGTCAGCGGCATCCTGTTCTCCTCCGCCTGGATCGTGGTCACCACCACCACCCAGGTGGTGGCCATCGTCTTCTACGGTTTTTTTGCGGGTGAGTGGGTTGACATCCCTCAATGTGTAGTATGACATCTGAAAAGGGCGGGAAAATTGTGCAATCTAATAGATGTTTGTTTAGAAATAAGGGTAGGATTAACTACTATTATAATATTAATGATAATTTCTTTCTTTGTTATTGTACTTTACAAAAAGCACATGAACCAGATGTGGTTTGTTGCTTATTTTTATTGCTCACTTGTCGTATATGTAATATATCGCGTATACGCGTTTCAATAGTCGGTCAATGTGAATGTTTCTCGCGTATGCATTTTTACATTCTGAGATCGGTTCATCGAAGAATTAATCTTATTTTTTTATTTCTTACCATTTTCTTAGGCATTGGGTCCAGCTTGTACCTGTGGAAGACGCACGTGATCCTGGAGGCAGTGCGTCCGCGGGAGGACAAGTACGTCCGGAAGACGATCCACCTGTGCGGTGAGGCCTTCTGCCAGCTGTTCCTCTCGTTCGTGTTCACCAGCCTGAGGACTTTGTACGGCACCGCCCAGTCGATTGTACTGATGTCCGCGCTGCTGGTGAACCTCATCCCGCTGAGCCTGATCATCACGAAGCACCGCGAGGATGCCTTCACCACGAAGCGGATTTCGGTGATCAAGGCGGAGACAGGATTCGCAGCACTGCCGCTGAGAGCCGCCCTGGCTGCGAATTTGGTGGCGGATCAGCTGGATGGCCTGGATACGCTCTCCTGGCGGAATCCGGCCAACGAAATGGTCGCCGCACCGGGGGCAGCCGTCGCTGCTGCGGTTGTGGATACGCACAGCAATTACATGCTGGCCACGGATGAAGCGTACGTTACGTATGTCAATCCCAACGGTGTGGAGATCATGGAGATCATTCCCGAGGAGGACGAAACGGTGTCCATGATGCGATCGAGCAACGCCACCATCGACAACTATGCCATGTCCGCTTCGCAGACGTCGCACAAGTCGCTGTCCAATGGTCGGCTCTATCCACTGGCGAACCAGTTCCCGCTTACCACCGGAACTGGAACCGCCACCGGAACCGGAAGCTCCTCGCCCCTGCCGCCCGATTATGCCAATTTGGTGAGTTCTTGAAGGAAGTGTAAAATTATTAATTTAAAAGCTGAAAATAATGCAAACATACCTACGTATATTTGGTCTAAACCCCTTTTGGCTTTTCCCTTTTTCTTTGCAGCGCCGCTTTCGTCGAATGTCGCGAGCGGTTACCTCGCATCTGTGGTGGAATCTGCTGGACAAGATCGCAATGCCGCTGCAGCAGGCGCTGATGGTGCCGCAGCTGTACGCCACCACACTGCTCCTCTCCGCGGACATCTTCAGCTACGTGATGTGCCTCACAGTGCTCCCCGGACTGGCGGTCAGTCACCACGCCCTGAAGAACGCGGAGATCCCCTTTCTCTTCTCCCTGCTGGCCTTCCCCTGGATGTGCTTCTCCCTGATGACGCCGCGTTTCGGGACGAGCCTGTATAAGAGGAAGATCCAGTGGCACACGATGGGCAGCCTCGCCAAGTGCCTGGCACTGATCTGTGAGTCCAGGTTTAAGAATTGGAATTATCCTTTATATTTGTGTTGTTTTTATCTGTGGGTTAAAGAAGAAGTTTTAAGCATCTATGTAATTAAGTTCGCAGCTTTATGTTTATGTTTAAAATCACCTTAAGTTCATAATATCTGCTAAATGCTTCTTTCGTCTTCAGTCATTAGCTTCTCCACCTCGAAGCTGCTGCTCAGCGTGTCCGCGGTGCTCCTGGGATTTGGACAGGTGGTGACCGCCTTCCTGCAGGAGCTTGTCTTCCAAATGGGAATGACGCGGGCCAACTGGACGGCCATTCGGCGACCGGTGCACTTTACCAATGGTCTGTTGGTGCTCCTCTGGGGCGCCCTTGCCCATTGGGTGGTGGAGCGGTACTCGTTCCAGGCCACCGTGGGATTTGCCGGAGCCCTCTACGGAGCGACCACGTTGTTCTGGAACTTTCTCTTCTTCTGCTGCCAGGGAAAGGATTGAGGAGCTAAAGATCTAAAGGACCTGGACAATTCGCGGGGATCGCGGGGGATGTGTGTTGCTGTTGTTGACGTTGTGGAAGATCTGAAGGTGTTGTACTTGTGCAGTGATATTAATAAATAAACTAATAAACTATAAATAAAGTAACTGTCAATATGTCATACATGCATACATACATAAACAAATCGTTTATAGAGCAAGGAGAATGGGAGAGCAAGTTAGATAGCATGTTTACTCTAAGGCATTAGAGTATATGTCTGTCTCGCTTTAATATCCGTTTTAAGTCAAGTTTTCCTACAAATGATGCTCATGCATCGTCGCATTGCATTTTATGGAATTGAACTAATCGGTTTTAATGAGGTACTTTTTTTTTTAACAATTTCCAATTTGTTTTATGAAGTGCATTTTATAACACCTGCCAATTGGTTATAAGAAAGGGAATTTTCTAACACCTTCAAATTGGTGCTTGCAACATTGCATAAGTAGGTTTTAAAATTTAAAAATCAAAATAATATCTCAATTGCGGGATTTTTAATACACGCATTGTATGATAACGTTTTCTTTAAACAAGTTATGACTTCTTTTTAATTTTTTTATTAATATTCTTGAGAGCAAAAATTACAAAACTAAAATAGACGGTTGCCAGTTTTGGTTAATTTTCTAAAGTCTCACTTGTTTTACCGTTGGTAAACTTAACAATTTTTTGCAGGACGTCATTTTGACCATGTAATAAATTTAAACACGCTTTCGGTCCCGTCTTTCAATAATTTAACATAGATATTTTATTAAATAAAGTAAAATAATAAAATATTCATTTAAGCGCACGTTGGTAAAAGCTTTTTGCTATAAACCTAAAGCCATTTTTAACTGTCAACATGCATTTCAAATCCAAAAAATATAACTTCTTTTTTGTTTTAATACATTTTTCAGCCGGATGTAGGAAGCAGAATCCGCACAGTCTGCTAAGTGTGAAAAAAAACATCATAGTCGTATATAGAAAATGTTTTTTATTTATAGGTAAAAAGCTAGCATAGGAAAGTAAATATTTTAGCTCACTGCCTGACAAAACCTGCTTGCTATAAAATCCAATATCCCTCTTCTGCTTGCGATTGTTTGGCAACTATCGATATTTTACGTGTTTGGGATATGTGTTATATCGACGGAACGGTAACTCTGATACCAGCACGCCAAGACAACTACAATTTTTCATTTCATTTGACATCGGTATAAAACCAAGTGGTTCAAAAATTGTACAACTTTTAGAGTGTGTATCAGCTGGGCAAGGTAAGCGATTGTGCCAAAGGCAGTTGTAAAGGGGGTAGAGTACGGGGCAAACTGATCAGCAGCGGCGATTTGCGGCGGCCACAAAAGCGGGAAGCCGCCGAATGCGCAAAATCGCAGCTGCGGTTTTTTTTCTCATTACCGGCTTTCGCCGTTTTTGGCAAGCGACAACTGCACCACCGAAATCCTTTTGCCTGTTTTTCTAGCATTTCGGAAACTGCTAGTGAAGACGCATGCCGAAGAAAATCGAAGACATTATTGTGATATCTTCATCTGACACCAGCGAAAGCAGTGATGATTCGTCTGATTCAGATTCAGATTCCGAATCCAGTTCCCTTTCCGATGATACCTTAAATATAGGTTTGTCGGATAAAATACACAGAGCATCAACACCAGAAAACAAGTCTTTGCCGCAGCATCCAGGTTCAAACACTAAACACAACAACACAAACACGTCCAATGGGACCACACAACCGCAAGATAAACCCTTGAAAGCAAATGATCTACAAGCTCAGCAGTTCGAGACTGTAGCTAATGGCCAGTCGCAGGATCATCCGATTAAAAAAGATGGTACTATAGCTAAAGTCCAGTCGCAGGATCATCAGATTAAAAAGGACGGTACTGTAGCTAAAGTCCAGTCGCAGGTTCATCAGATTGAAAAGGCTGCCACTGTCCCTATATCTAAACCACAACTTAAGCGCGACGAAAATATTGAAGCCTTTGCTACACAGGCGGGGTCTTTCAATAAAATCAAACCCTCGGAAGCTGAAGTCCAGTCACAGGACCCTCCGATTAAAAAGGTGACCACACCGCCTATATCTGAACCACAACTAAAGAGCGACACAGATACTGAAGCCTTTGCTGCACAGGCGAGGGCATTTAATAAAATCAAACCCTCGGGAGCTAAAGTCCAGTCGCAGGATTATCAAATTAAAAAGGTTGCCCCTTCGCCGATATCTAAACCAAAACTAAAGCGCGACATAGACATAAGAGTCTATGCTAGACCGGCGAGGGCATTCAATAAAATCAATCCCTTGAGAGGATTGCATTATGATCAACAGCAGCGTCGAAAGCCAGGAGAGCTGGTAGAACCAACGAAGGGCATTACTGTCTTAAGTTTTGTGCGCGAACAGCTAAAATGCTTCGACAAGATCTGCGATAAACTGATAGAGAATCTAAAAGAGATCGACGATCAAGCGGATTGCCTCAACATCATTGGCTCGAGCTTCAAATTGTCATCGTCGTGCCTTAAGCTGTTTTTCGCAACTGCCAAGGATAGCTTATCCCGGCTGAAGGAGGCCGTACTGGGCTTAGTCGCATGCACACGTTCGTTGGAGCGTACCTTTCAAATCCTTAAGGAACCAAAAGAGAAAGCCACCGGGCCAACGCAGATTATCCGGTTACTTTCAATGGGCTTAGATATTTTGAGAAAACTCCGACAGGTTGTATTCTTCTGGTACAACTCGAAAGAAAAAGAAGCCGACGCCGACGATTCAGAAGAGGAATCTCGGAACCGTTGCGGAACAGGTCGTGGAGCCGACCAACAGTTTGAATCAAATTTTCCCCGGAAGAGACGGTAAGGCCTACTTTGATTTCTGCTTTCTACAGCTTACTAGATTTTTTTTATAGCAAAGCACTTATAAATATTCAAATAGAAATAACATTATTTTGTTGAGTCTATGTCAAATATATTTTCTGTTCTTTTACAGCAACCAGGAGGAGGATCCTCGTCTGATTAAGTACCGGCGCGTGGACAACTCATTTCCTCGCTTTATACCGAATGCGCCTGCTGAGGACCCGATTCCCAACAAGTCCATGGCAGAACGAGAGCGCGAAAATCAGCAACATACCTCGAAGCGGCAGTCCATATTTAATCCGCCTGTATACACGCTGCACCGCGTGCGCAACGATGGCCCCATTGTGCTCAACCCGTTCGACCTTCCGGACGACGAGGAGAATATTCACACATTCGGCGCCACTGGTGGTCCATCATCCAGACAGTCCGCAGCACCTTCGCGTACCCATCCACAGCTGTTCTACTCGGACGTCGTGCGCGGTGGTCAGAATGGATTCGGGGAGACGCTTGCCAATGGGCATCCCGCTTACGCTGGACGCAGAGCTCCGGCTCAGGCGGAGAAGAGCATCCTGACGCATGAGATGGAGCGCATGGAGCATGAGCAGTACCTCAATCTGATCCACACAGTGGCTCACAATGATTCGAGTGCCAGTCGCTTTATAAAACCGGCTGCCCCGCCGCTGCAGCGCATCGATATCCAGTGGCCAACCTGGAGCTCCCTGCTGGGCGCTCGTCAGTCGCGTCCATCGCCTCAGCCGATGCGTAAGGAAAGCGAGCTATCCGAGTACGCCAAGTTGATCAACCGCGAGGTGAAGGAGAAGACCCGCTCGCCGGCACCACCGAGCCTGATGCACATCGGCAGCATAAATAACAGCCATGCGTCCACCATTTCCATTAGCGAGAGCAGCTCCAACAAATCGAGCAGCGACAGCTCTGAAGAATCCAGCAGCGACTCGGATTCCTGTGAGATTACCGAGATGGAGGAAAACGTCGATAACAAGAAAGCCACCAAGACTAATCATATGTAAGTCTTTAGTTCAATTTGTATGAATTCTGTCCTTAGATTGTCAATCAACATTTATTTCAAGACCTAATACGGATGCTCAGAAACAACTACAAAGCATCCAGAAGCCTGCCAGGTTCTCCATGTCGGATAGCTTGCATCGCCGCTTCGCCAATGGCGTCTACCTCAAAGAGGACTTTGCAGAGCAGTTTAAGGCGAGGGAAGCGCGTAAGCAGGAGGAAATGGAACACCTCCGTCTTTTGGCAGAAAAGGAGTAAGTATTACCCGCTCAATTATTGGTCACAGTTATTAAATTTTTTGGCAAATTACACAGGGCTATTCGCAGCACAGATCAACGTCGCCAATACGAAGAAAAGCTGCGCGAGAGCATTTTCCAGTACCGCATCCCTCATAAGCCTATTTTCGTTATTGGGGGAGCAATTAAGCCGGTTGAAAAGAAAACATTGCTTCGTCCGCTGACAGAGGAGGACATGCGTCGCTGGGCACACTTGATGAAAGGTGGTCCCGAGACTGAGGTTAGAAAATATATATTTGTTTGCATTTATAGCTGATATGTTAACGTATTTCTTGTGATTCTTTATATTAGGTTATTATTACGAAGTTTAACTATCGCATAACCCGCATTGATTTGAATACGTTTAATTCGAACAACTGGCTTAACGACGAAGTCATAAACTTCTACATGAGTTTGATTACCGAACGCTCCGAGAAGCGTCGTGGAGAACTGCCAAATGCGTACGCCATGAACACTTTCTTCGTGCCACGCCTTCTGCAGAATGGGCACGCGGGCGTAAAGCGCTGGACCCGAAAGGTTGACCTGTTCGCAATGGACGTGATCCCAGTTCCAGTTCACTGCAACAACGTCCACTGGTGCATGGCCATCATTCACATGAAGAACAAGACAATTCTCTATTACGACTCAATGGGAAAGCCGAACCCAACCGTGCTGAGCGCCTTGGAGGCCTATTTGCGCGAGGAGTCCCTGGATAAACGCAAGCAGCCGCTGGACACCAGCGACTTCAGGATTGAGAGCGCTCAGAACATACCACAACAACTAAACGGCAGCGATTGCGGACTGTTCAGCTGCATGTTCGCAGAGTATATATCTCGCGACGTACCAATAACCTTTTCCCAGGAGAACATGGAGTACTTCCGCAAGAAGATGCCCCTGGAGATTGCCGAAGGGAAGCTATGGTTGTAGGCGTGCTGTGTCCAAACCCAAAAAACACACAGCCACTAATACTAGCTTAACACGAGGAGATGAACGAGTTCTTAATTTATTGATTAGACATCTAACATCAACTTTCCAAGCGAGGATTCGCAGCAGAAGCCTTGCCACCAATCGAACACAAATCGATCTCATCGCCGATTCGATTCAGTTAGTTCGATAGGGCGGCAGCATGCATGCGCACAAACTTGCTTAACATCTCATTTCACTTTTCACACATCCACTACAAATTGTAACACTTCCAATAGAACCTGCGATGCTGATGAGCAATTCATTTTTCAATAAAGCTCCGGCAAATTGACAGAATAATTTAGTTTTTAATATAAACATCATAATGAGAGATCCTTCAAATATTTACACGTGAAATAAGCCATCTATTTGGTAAAAAGAATACTAACACTAACATTAGGATTTTCGTTTTTTTTTTTAGGTCTGTATTTCTTCTGCATACAAAAATTAAAATGTTTTTATACACTTTTCATTGATAAATGCGAAGGTGTAACCTTTTTACTCATATAATACTTAAAGTTAAGGAAACGGATTTCCTAAAAATGTGCGGTATTCCGTTAGTAAATGAATTACAAACTAAGTTAAACTATTTATAACGATTTTTTTAGTATTTTTAAAAATGTTGTAAAGTTAAATTTAATCAACACCGTTTCGGTTTAGTATATTTTTGGTTCATAAAAACAGTGTTAATTTTGTGGATTTTCGAGGAACTCTTCTTAACTTAAGGTAACTTAAATGAAATGTAATATAATTTATTTTTGCAAATCAAACTATACAAATATATATTAAACAAAATATAAAAAAAATTTTCTTATGGTATGCAAAAAAGTAGTTCCATTAAAGAGAAGTTTAGATTGTAAAATTGTTTGTGATTTAACTTAACTGTGGAATTTGAAAAGGCAAGCCGCTATATTTCATCTCCAGTGTGGCCCTACCAACAGGAAGTCTGTTGGCGAAGGCGAAAAGCTAACGGTACATGGCGTTAGTGTGACCCTGTCGAACGAAAAGTATGGGGCTATTGCCGGTGTGACCGGGCCGGGGAGGAAAGCAAAGAAAAGTGGAAAAAGCGGAAAAGCAGCAGTTGCGAGAGAGGCGCGCGCGCGGTCACAACTCGGCGACGGCAGCGTTGGGGCATGCAAATTATGCCAATTAGCATCGACGGTAGCACGAGCAGTAGCAGCAACGCCAGCGCCGACAACCGAGCAGAAAATGCAGCAGAGAACAGGAGCGGCGACGTCATCATCGGCGGCAGATAGCGGAAAGGGGGCGACGGACCACCCGCACCCATCCAGGCGGTCCGACGACGACGGCGACGGAGGCGGCGGGAACAGCTGCTCCGGCGACCCAGCAGCGGTGAGAGAGGCGTTTGCGTTTCCCCAAATTTCCATGTGAAAACCCTACGAGTTTCCCTTGTTGTTTTTTTTTCTCCATTTTTTTTATTGTGAGTGGGCCAATGTGTGTTTGTGTGTATTTATCGTTTGTTTGGCCTGGCTAAAAAATTATATAACTTTAAGCGGAGGCAGCGCACGCTTAGTGACCTCCTCACCCATCGACCAGTCCACCCCCTTCTTCTTCCACCCCCTTTTATCACCCACGCCACTGCAGAATTGCCATGAACTCGCATAAAAATTGTGCGGGTGTGTGTGTGTGTGTGTGCCCGTTTTATTTTCCATGCTCCTCGGCTCGTTTGTTGTAATTTTCCGCAGCCACCGCGCATGCCACCTCCTGCCCCTCCTCCTGTCCTGTCCCGTCATCCGCTTTTCACACCGAAAATATTTTTCAAATCGCTCTAGATATTGCAAAACTTCGAACCAATAAAAACAATGCCATAGGATCTTGTATGAACTTTATTTCAAATTGAAATGTTTTACAAAATTTAATCGAAGGATTGTGTAAAAGTAATCTCCAATTTTTAGACAAAATATTGTAAAATATATTAGAAAAAGTATAGCTAAAACGAGACTTGGCAATGGACCTAAATTCTTTTTCTAATATTTTTCTCATAAAAGCGAATTTCAGAAAAAATTAAAATTAATCTTACATAAAAAATGTGAATGTTTTTTGTAATAAAAACCACAACATTTTTGAAAATTTTGTTTTTCTCTTATAATTGCTATATGTCTATTTAAGAAATTTATAAGCCGTTGATCAAATTTTCTGAAGGTAAACAATTTTGTAATAACAATTTTTGTGCACTGCTGTTAACATTTTCCATTGCCTTGCACTTTTATTTTTCTCTCTGGCTTGCCTAATTTCGAAATGCGTGTATTTGTATTTACTTTGTGGTGCCTTGTTTGTTTGGCTCTTGTTTTAATCATTTATTCGATTTCGCCGTGTCCTTGTGGAATCGCCACCCACCCACTTTTGGCCCAGTTTCTTAGGTACTTTTCGTGCGCTTCGCCTGCTTCCGGTGTTCTGATTTAATCGCAGCGCATATTCAATTTCATTCCTGACGCCCGGCCAATTTCCCATTAATTTTGTTCTAATTAATTTTGGCCAGCTGGCTGGTTGTTGGTTACGTCAGGCGCAGCTCATCTATTTTTGGCCTTAATCCTTTTGCTTCTTTCGGAGCGGCAGACAGAGAGAGCCGAGCCGAGTCCTTTTAACCAGAACCACACACACACAGAGAGAGCGGCCTTGCCACCCACCAAGCCCACTAACCCACCAGTTAGGATAGCCGCCGTATCCTAACCATAACCATACCCCTTGCTAGCCAGCTAGCCAGCTCAAGGACTTGTTTATTTATAACTCCGGGCTCTTCCCATTCGGGATGCCATGCGGACCTCATCCATTATTTAGCCACGCGTATCCGCATAGTTTACGCCTTTATTTGCTGCTCCCCATTGTTTGTCTTTTGTTTATTGATTTATTCACACCTCTTATTGTTTTCTTTTCTGCCTTTATTTTTAGCGCTTTTTCGTTGTTGTGCATTACTCAAATCGAACTCAGAACTAAATTAGCCAGGTAAGGGCTATCTCTCAACTACGCATCATCCATCACAACCGTTCAGGGGGTGAAACCACTGTAGTCATTCATTCAAAGAACAAAAGGTAACATTTAATCTATATAGTAGTAAAAAAGTAACTTATTCATTTGCCATGCTCCTCAAAAAAGTGCATCAATTTTCCGCAGTAAATTTTTAAAAAGCTTAAGTTGAATTTATTCTTATTATATTTTGAACTCAGTGGGTGAAGATTATGAATTGTAAATCTTTTAAGAAAGACGTAAACGTATAAATATTAAAAATTCGTTTATAGATTACATTTCTTCTTCTGAAGTTATCACCTTTCTAAATAAATTACAGTGGATTTTCCCCTCAACCTTTAAATAGAGAACTCTGATCCTAACGTTCATACTTCCTTACAGATTAGCACAACGATTAGCTCCAAGCAGCAGGTGGAGCAGGCGGATGCGAGGGAGCCGAAGGAGGAGCAGGTGGCCATCCACTACCTGGCCAGTTTCCATGAGCTGTGTGTGGTGACCGCCCTGCTGCCGCTGGTGACGCTCTTCACGTGCTTCGTGACCGCCTACGTCTTCCAGTACGACGATGTACACGAGACACATTGCCGCGTGAGTTTTTTTTTTTTTAGGTGGGCTTTTGGGGTGTCCAGAGCTTCTGGGCGGGGCAGGAAACAACTGCTCCAATCGCAGTTAATCCCGCGGCCAACAAATCACTGTCATCCTCTGGGGAGACCGTGCGAGATAGGAGACACGCAAATATACTTTTTAAGCGATTCGGTCACAAAAAGCACAGCGGTTAATTTGATTAATGGCCACAGACCTCAAGGACAAGACGTTAAGTTTGCTTTATTTTGTTGAATATTTAAAAGCATGTTTGGGTTTTTTCTTTGATATGGTTATTTTCAGTTATTTAGGATTTTAAATCAGTTTAAATCTTCCTTAAGCTTATAGTATATCAAATATTTTTGGTTTTTATATACATATGTTGTTTAATTTCAATTACGGTTGATATTTATTTAAAAATCCCTACGATACGATTTTTACTTTGACTAGGACTTGTTAAATTACATCCGAACTAGGAAGATTAGCATTATACTACATTTTAGCCGGCAGATTAATAACCAGTATCTTACTTCTATTACCAGGTCTACAATATAGTACCCTCGATAAGTGCAATTACCGGCGTGAGTCCGCAGCGCTACTTCTGGCGCATCAGCATTGCTCTGCACATCGGACCGCGGATCCCGATCGCCTTCGTCTACAAGAACTACTACCGCTCGCAGCTGCGCCGGCTGAATCCCGCCCAGGTGCCTCAGACCAGTCTGCTGATCACGCTGATCCTGGTGCTCAACTGCATCGAGGTCGCTTCCCTGGCGGGCGTCACCTATATATCGAATCGCGAGAACTACCGTAGGTTAAGTGAACCGCCATCCATTTATCGAGTCTACACTGTTACCACCCATTGCAGCTATTCATGAGCGCATCTTCATCACGTTTATGGTGTGTTCACTGTGCTACATGCTGGCCACCATAAAGCTGAACGACATCCTCAACAAGGGACAATCGCTGAGCGAACAGCAGCGGCTGTCCATCAAGTGGAAGAAGATCCTCTTCGCCATCTCCATCCTGAGCACCGTCGGACTGCTGGTGTTCTTTGCCAAACATCGCTTCTACTGTCACGACTTAGGTAAATAAAAAAGACAATTTAAAAACAATTTCTTGTGACATAAATAATATATTCATCACAACTATGTTCCAAATGATTTTTGTATCAAGTGATTTTGGAGAAAGTAATAAGAACATATTTCCCAGAAATCGAAACTTAACCGTCAAAATAAAATTTGGTTTCAATTTTTTAAACAATCAGCATTTAGTTGCTTATATTAATTTTTGCTGCATGGTCCCAATATTATTCAAAATTTTGAATCTATAAATATTTTATAAATTAATAAAATGAATTCAATATTTTAACCCAAAACTGGCTTTTCAAATTAACATATTTTTATACATACATGTATTAACATTTAAAAATTAATTTTACCAGTCAGTATCTTGAAAATGTACAACATATTATTTAATAGATATTATTTGTAATGACCTCCTTTTGTTTTTACAGCCTTCAGTTGGTTCGCGTTCTTCGAGTATTTGATCGCCATCGCCAACATGCTGTTCCACTTCACCATAATCTGGGACTTCCCCTCGCAGTTCTTGATGATCGTGCAGGGACCACGCGAGAATCTCGCCCAGTACTTGAGCAACAGGCCGAAAGTGGACTAGATTCGGATGGACTAGATCCCACCTGCATGCCACTTCTCCAGTGAATAGTGTGTTTGTAATTCCCATACGAAACGTACAATTAACAAAACTTCTTCAACTTTAAAACTAAGCGCTTCCATTACCGATCGATCAACAACAAAATTAGTATTCCTCTATTTTCTTCGATTCACTTAAAACCACTGAACCCACAAATCAGAGTCACAAAAATCAAAGCGAAACCCCAGAAATAAGGAAATGAAAACCGAAACGAAACGAAAGCGAAAGCGAAATGTTCCATAGTTCCACGATTAATATAATTATTAAATATACAAAACAAGTATGTAAAGAAATTTGCCGGATTAGAGGGCATACCGATCTAAGTACACATTCTAAATACAAGAAATAAGTTACCTAAGTAAGGATTAAGTGCACCGAAAGCAAAAACAAAAAAAAAATACAACAAACAATAAGGTAATATTTACGCCTAGTGGATCGCAGCTCGCCAGATCTCAAGTCAATTTCAAATCGACAGCGTTTCATTTGTTAGGCAGTAAAGTAAATAGAAATTCGAATTACTTACCACTTAGTACATATCGTTTATACAAGATGGAAAATAGCCTCCTTGGGGCGGCCCTATTGGCCCTCCCCAAAATAGAAAAAAAAAACACATTGAAACAGAAATCGGACAATAGACATTAAGCTGCGACATTACGGGCAACGAACAACAACCACTCACAGATTTCGAACAGTGATGGGAGGTATCTATAAAGGTGATTAGAAAATAAAAAAAACGATGTATGTATTCCCAGTAAATTTTAATTTGTTAAAATAAGAACCCAATGAGAAAAGGGTTTTAGAAATGTGGAACCAACTAGCTTCCCGAAAGAATTATAAAATTAAACTGATAGGTTTAAATTTGTTAAATTTAAATTCTCAAGAAAATTCTATTTAAAAAGAGAAATTCGGTACCTTTCCCATCGCTGTTCTTGAGGTCGAAGATCTAGATGAGGCAGTTTCTGATGCCAACGACGTCAGACTAACAAAAAATTATAGCAAAATAAACAATTGTTCTTAGCCAACTTTAATAGCAAAATGAATTTTGAAATATTAAGAAATGCGTAGCCCAAACAATTGGTCAAGCGATCGGGTGAAAGACGAACATTTTACATTTAGCTTTCGTTGTAGGCAAGCACGGCCAATAGCTAATCGAAATGTAAGCCAGATAATGGTCAATATACAGATATTTTGCTGATACGGACATCCGTAGCTATGTATTTTTTCTCACACCGAGTATTTAGCTGAAATCGAAGACAGTTCAATTTGATATTACTTATTTAACTTTGTACTATACACACACCAGAGTCAAGCGGAAACTTTTATTCCATAGGTAATATTATGACTACCAATATAATTACTATTATGCATTGTAACTGCGAGAGATCGGCGTTTTAAATAGCATCCTGAATGGTCAGGAGAAGAGCCTTTGTACTTGTATTCCCTGCGAACAACGTAGCTAAACCAATGAAACAATTGTTAATTCTCACACAAAATGATATTATAATTAATTATATATATATATTCAAAATCACACCCACTCATGCGATATGTTATGCAATAGTTGAGTTGCCAATTGCACCTTGCGATCGAGCAAATATATATTCGAATTATTGTTGATGTTTACACGCCCTGAGTTAAGTTACCCATCTCACTCCTATCTCAACTTCTATATTATCTCTGTCCCGCTCCGTTTCGATTTTCCCATTATGTGCCTCTCTCCATATTGACCCATAAGGATGAACACTTCCAGTTGGATCCACGGAGTAAGGATATATGATATGTATTCGCACTTTATATATCGATCACCCGCTATTTTCTATTTGTTTTGTATGGCAGAAAGCAGCAGCTCTGGGATAGTCACTTTTTAAAATGCAACTTTTTACCCTTGCATAACTTTTAAGGCGACACAACGTAAGAGAATTAATTAAAACAAAAACCAATACAAATTAACTATGAAATATGTAAACTTTGTAGCTTCCTTATTTGAATAAAGATTAATACAACTCATAAGGATTTTCCCAGCCTGGTTTTTTTTTTGTTAAAAGGGATCTACAATTTCAAATAGTCCTGATTTTCTTTTAGTCCTGACACTAAATATCTTTTCTTCTGATTTATTCTTGATTTCTGTATTAATAAACACTTTTTCCTGAATTATTCTTAAACCAATTCAAAACTCAAATCGCTTTCTCTGTTTGTTTTGGAAGCACTTAAGTATATTTCATGTTTTCATTTGTTTGTAAATTATTTACACTAAATCGTAGGCAATCACACTTAAGTGGTTGTCCAGAGTGTGAGGGATGTAACACATAATACTTGCACATATATAAGGCCAAGAGTCAAAGTTTAATAGGTTGCGGTTTGTTCGATTTGTAAAAGAAAATAGCGGTCAAGGTGAACTCTCTAATTCTGATTAGTTTTGGGTTTGGCAATCTGAACAATTGCGTGTGGTCACCGGCCTGTATATATGCACAGCTATTACATGCAGGCGAATGCGAGGGACGATGGGAGTGGCTGGGAAAGTTTGGGGCTGGGGGAGGCGTGGGTTGTGTGTTGTGGGAGGGGTTAGCGTTTGGCTTACTATTAAAATTCAGTACGAGTCTAGAAGCTACGGCCGATGTGTGTGTGTGTGTGTGTTTGATTGTGTCATAGGGTATGTGTTATGCTTAATATATAAACACCTGAACAAAGGTGTGCGGCGTCTCCGTGTGCGCGTGCTGAGAGGCTGTCCATAGGTCTAAGTGGTTCTTGCTATTTATTGTTGCTCTGTTTCTCTGTTACTCCTTCTGCTGCTCCTGTGCGCAGTGCTAAGCTGTCCGTTTGTTTTAACCTAATATCTAGTCCGGCAGGTCGATGCTGACGAACGGCACCACCGGCTTGAGGATGTCGTTCTTGGCCCCCTTCTTGCCCTTCTTGTCGTGCTTGCCGAACTCGTGCAGCTGCTCGCTGGCCGCCATGCTCGTTGACGAAGAGGTGGCGTCCAGCGGCACGGACTGCCCGGCATTGCTGTGCGTCTCGACGTGATAGCTGATGTTGCCGTATTCCTGCAGGAAGGGCATTGCCGACAGCAGGAACTGGCTGAAGGACTTGCGGATGCCGAACCACCACATGTTGCCGCCCTTGGCCGTGAAGCTCAGAATGATCAGTGCCAAAATGGAGACAAGCAGCGGCGAGAAGACCACAACGTATGGGAACTTAAGCTCGCCATCCAGCTTGTCGCAGATGACCACCTGGTAAAAAGAATGCTTAGACATGACTGTTTACGTCAAAAGATTTAATAGGACTCACCTGAAAGCAGAGCAATGGGAGCACCGTGCAGATGTTGCCCACTGCCGCATTTAACGCTGCCTTTTTCTGCTGCAGCGAGACCTCCGGCGTACGCATCATGATGCCGCAGAAGATGATGTTGTACAAAACGCTGACCAAGCTCAGGCATATCACAATCCACATAGGCACAAACACCACATCCCAGTTCCAGTACACAAAGCCATCCAGCTTCAGCGGCAGCGAGACGAACTGCAACGCATTCACCGCCAAAAACAGCTCCAGTTCGAAGGATCGATCGTGCTTGACGGCCCACACACAGGCGCCCACACTCACCACCGATCCGAAGATCAGCGGTATGAAGACCAGCACCCAAAGGTGGCGGTCCGAGGTCAGCTTATCGCAGGCCAGCAGCTCGAACATCAGCAGGATCAGGTGCAGGGCCAGGGAGATGAGCATTGCCTTGAACTGCGTGTAGGCGTCGCCTTCAAGGCGGTAGTGGGGATAGCGGCACCAAACGATGGCGCCGACGATGGCGCCCAGGATGGCGGTGCACTTCCATATCCACAGCGGTGTGAAAATTGCCCAATAGGGCCAATCTGCAGAAAGACATTCGATAATTCTTATTTAAAAAAATATCTAAGATAAATTTTTTAAGAGCCATATATGGGTGGGCTTTACAAGTGTTTTTAAGTAGATCATTTTATAAATTGTTCTGAATAGTATTGTGTATATCATATCTATTGTATGTGCTTTATTACACGTACAAGTTCCCCGAAGAGCACGATTGACTAGTTTGGGGAAAGCCCACCATCCATGGCAAGTTGAATCTATGCTCAGCTGGCTTCTACAAGAGTACCCACCTATGTAGTTATCCAGGCGCAAGGCGAAGAGCGTGACGAAGGTGAACAGGCTGCAGTGAACGATAAATTTGCTGCAAGAGAACATGGCCGATTAGGGAGTGGAATGGATTGGATTGGTTCGCAATGGATTGGATCTCGATCTCCTCCGTGATCCGGGCGTCCGCTGCCGAGGGCTTCTCACCAGGGATTGAAGTCGCGGAACAGCGATTCCAGGTTCATGTTGCTGGCGACACCATAGAGATCTTGCTACCTGGACAGTTGGTAACTGGCACAGGGCACTGGGACACACTAGCTGCTCGTGCACTCCCGCCGCACTGCGTCCGCTCCTCGAGCACCGAATTCCGATCTCCAATCTCTCTGGCTCCAATCTCAGCGCGAAACGGGGGGTCTCTGGCGGGGTGGGGGGCAGAACTTGCTCTGCGCCTGGTGCCGATCTTTGTTTCTTTCTTTCCTTATGGTCGCCCCTTTGTTTTATTTACACACTTTGACTGGCATACTTTTCGAGTTGTCTTGTTGTTGTCCGGAAACTCGATAACGATAGTTTAATAGTTAGCCAGCCGATTGATTAGCGATATATAGCTAGACTTCAAGCTAAGTACACGTTTTGCAACACTGCCGGCATGGTGCAGCCGCAAAAGGATTTGGATTTGGAGACAGATTTGCCTGCAAAGGAGGATAGCCTGCAGGATTCCGACTGTTGTGGCAATGGCTGCACCAACTGCATTTTGGACAACAAGCCACAGCCGAGCAAACGCGTCCTGCTGGCCGGCAAACGCAATGTGATCCTGAACTATACAAAATTCCGACTGTTACGGCGGGAAAATCTTGAATCCGATGGTCAAGTGCTGCTCCTGCATTTCGGCCACGCCCCCGAGGAGGGCACGGAGGCGGAAGACTGTGTGCTGGACATACCGCCCGGTCATCATGTGATGCTGCGCTTCGGTTCCCTGTTGCGTCCATATTCTCCCTATTGGAGCGATTTCTTGGCCAAGGAGTTCCGGATACTGGTTAAGCTGCAGAAGGAGGGTCCGATGTCGCAGCACTTGGCTGCCGTGCAACCCAACGATCTGCTGGAGTTCCGCGGACCCATTGGGCAGTACGTTCATGATCCGCAGAACGGCAAATGCATCTACATTGTGGCCCAAGGAGTGGCCATTGCACCCACTTTGCCGCTGGTGCGTCAGGTGCTCGACGACGAGGAGGACATGAGTCGCCTATGGCATCTGGTGTGTGCTCCCGACCTGCAGCACGTCTATTTCCGCGAGGAGTTGCTGGAATTCGCACAGTTTTGGAACTACAAAGGCTGTCTTTATCTGCCCCACCAAAAGTGCGATTCCGCCGACTGCAAAAAGGCGAAAAAATGCAACACGGAGTGCCTTCACTTCCGCCGGAGTCTTCGGTACAGGGAGATGGCCAAAGTGTGCCGACTGGATGCCTCTGAGCTGTCCAGGCACGTTAATACGTCCATTCCCGGACAGCGCATAGTTATCGTGGCCGGAGATTCAAGTTTCCAGCGGAACATCTCCCAATTGGCTACCGAATCCTTGGCTGTGGATCCAGCTAACGTTTATTTGTTGTAATCACCAAAGGAAATTGTAAGTGCCTTTCGTTATTTGTAGTTCTTGAGAGCTTGATTAACACTCCTGAAAAATAATAACACTCCGTGATGTAAATTTATACCATAACTTTTTATTTATGATCTGGCTAAATGGTAATTTTAGCAAGCTGTTTGGTAGCACAATTAAACTTTTTTCTAACTAAAGGCTTTCCGTCGACCACAAAATGCAATTGTAGCAACCCGTTTTCATATGTCATAGTGGTTGACTTCATTTCTATTTTTATTTATCTACTTTAGAATATTGTTGGTGTTGTTTTTGCTCTTTGATGACAACTTTTAAACATTGTAAAAATGTAAACGTATATTAATGAAATAGAATTATTTTTTAAGTAAGAATATAGTCACCAAAGGCAATCAAATAGTATAATAAGAAAAACCCAGCATCATGTTTCAATTTAATTTAAAAATCAACTAGGTGATTCATTTCCAATACTATTTTACTTAGTATATGGTTTTTTATTAAAAAAAAAAGAAGCAGAAATACTTTATGTCTACGATCGCTGGGCAATACGTTAGTGGAATACATCATAGGTTGGTTTTGGGCCAAGCGGCCTGCGCATCCAGCAGCGAGTCCGACTTCTCCGGCGATTGCGGTAGCTGTGGTGGCTGTGGCATCATTTGGGCATATTTGGCCAGGTAAGGAGTCAGCAGCTCCATTGGCAGCGGGAAGACGATCGTGGAGTTCTTCTCCGCCGAGATGCTGCTCAAGGTTTGCAAGTAGCGAAGCTGTAGAGGAGGATTTGGTTAGGATCCATTGCTTTAGAAGGGTTGGGTGGGAAGAGCACTCACCTGCAGGGCGGAGGGGCTGGAGGAGATGACATCGGAGGCCTCTTTGAGGGCGGCGGCTGACTTCTTTTCACCCTCGGCGGCAATCACCTTGGCACGGGCATCGCGGGCGGCCTCCGCCTCGGCGGCCATCGCTCGCTGCATGGAAACGGGTAGCGAGACGTCCTTGCTGCGGATTCAAGCAGATCGAGATCAGATATTATCAAAACAAATGGATTAACATTTCAGGAGATAGGTTTTTTGAAAGGTGAAATGGGTATTTGTTTGTTTTTTAGCTCTTAAAGAATGCTACTCACATCTCCACTCGCTCCACCATGACTCCCCAGGGCTCGGTGGCCTCGTCCAAGGTGGCCTGCATGGTGTGGGCGAGGATCTCGCGTTCGGTGAGCAACTCGGAGAGGTTCCTTGTGCCGACGATGTTACGCAGCGTGGTGGCCGCCAGGAGGCGGGTGGACATGCTGTAGTCCTCCACTTGGATGACTGCGTAGAGGGGATCACTGATGCGATAGTAGACCACGGCATCCACGGTGACCGTCACCGAGTCCTTGGTGAGCATCTCCTGCTGCGGCACATTGAAGGTGACGGTGCGCAGGTCCACCTTGCGGTACTCATCGATGCACGGCAGGATGAAGAACATGCCGGGACCACGAGCTCCTCCACTCAGCCTTCCCAGCCGGAAGATGATGGCCCTCTCATATTCCGCAACCACCTTGAAGCAAATGAAGATGGCGATCGGCGAGGTGATGATGAAGATCAGCACGGAGAACAAGGTGACCACCCACTCCACAAAACCCCTCGGCTCGTTCTCCGCTGCAAAGAAATGCGAAAAATTGAGTAATTAGTTTCCAGACACAGGAGTACCAATAAAACCCTTGGAAAAACCAAAAGGAATTCAAGTTATAAACTAATAGCTTTTATGGCTTCAAGTACCTTTTCTTCTTTATCACCTCTCGCATTTCCGGAAATTCCTAACTACTTGAAAAACTTAAAACTTACCAAGAAATTCATTGAGAAATTTAGTCAATTAAAAAGCTGAAAACTATAGCAAACACTTCAGGTTTTCTACATGTGATAACGTTTAAAAAATTTCTCTCTTTAAAAACGCAATACATTTTAAAAGCTAGATCACAATACCTTATTACCAAATAAATATTGATGATATTTAATTATTAATTTAATAAAAAGTAAATCTTTTTAATTTATTGATAAAGAAATTGAAATAAAAGTTGGGGGTGTATTCCAATTCGAAACAATTAGTTGCTGATTAACGAAAACAAAATAAATTACTGAAGTCTATAAATATAGCAATTTCTTTTAAGGGGTTAATCATCAAAATATATAAAGAATAATCAAGGATTAAGTGGGATACAGATATTAGCTAATTGACCCCAAAGTTGAAAATAAAATCTAAAGCACTATCTTCTATGATAAAGAATGAAGTTTCAAACGTCACTTTTGCAGTCCATTAAATTGTACGATTCCCTTATCGATTTTGGACATAGGTAATTATGTGAAAATCAACCGATAAGGTGGTTTAGGGTTATTTATTTACGATTTTGCAAGTCTGAAATATTTTGCGATGCAAGTTCACAAAATACAAGAGCGGCAACACATCTCACGCGATCAATTTCACACTTTTCTGTTTGCCACCCTCTAATCTTATCTGAAGTAGCGATTCCGAGAAATTCAGAATGCAGAAGTGTGTATTCCGTATCGGTTGATTTCAAGCGATTAAAGTTTAGCAGTGGACTATATTTCCAATTGACAGGAATTGAAACAGTAATTGAAGATCTCGGAGTAAGAAAAGTTATACGGATAACATAGTTTAGTTTAAATCTTAAATGAAAACTCGGAACAAAAGTATTTATTATACCTTTCTATTTCTGATTTTTTTTTCAGGACTTTCAACTTACATGTCTTAAATCCCCGATACTGCTGAGTGGGTCCGGGAACCCGAGCTGGCTGCTCCGGAGCCGCTCCACCGGGTCCCATGTTGATCATGTAGGCGGTGGAGCTGGCCGGACCGGAGTGACGCATGTCCTCGTAGTTGGCGTACACGGGCGAATCCTGCTGCGGCTCCATCGTTGGGGGCGTTGAATTGTTCCAGTCCGGTCAGCTTAGCACTCGAAACTGTTGCGGGAAGAGCCGCAAAATCCAAACTGAATACCGAAAAGCATTCTCGCGTGATAAGAGCGGCCAGTTCTCCCAGATACCGAGTGGAGTGGAGTATCGCGTTGGCTTTATCGCTGCACAGAGCTTCCGAGCGGCTCAAATGCGAGGGCGAGGGCACATTGAGAAAAAATCCAAAGCTAATCAATCTGAAGAGATTAATCTAGTGTGAAATGGATAATTAGTTTTCATCCTGCCAAGGAAAAAGAAAATAACTTTCAATTGAATTCAAATCTGGAGGCAGAATGCAGTAAATATTTGGTAAGGTACTTTTTAAATTTTTCATTTTATAAATTAAGTATTGTTTTATTAATTTGTATTATTAATCATATGCAAATTTTTTTATATTCATGGTAAATTTATCCGAAAAACAAAAATGTTTTCAACACGTAATGCGGAAAAAAAATATAAACTAAATTGAGAATATTTGTATTTTTAAATTCGGAAAGAAAAACTCAAGTTCCACTTAAATTTCTTGTCATAAAATTGATGCTACTTTAATATTAAAATGTAATTTGTTCATGTTTTAGGATCTCCCCTAACACATATCCAGTGTAGATTGAGCCGGGGAAACACCAAGAACCCAAGAACCCCCCGCCAAGAGCGGCCTTGCAAATCGAGAGACATGGGCGTTTGCCGTGAATCACTTTGCTCTGAGACCCAAGTGAAACCCAACTTGATTGCGCTCGTACATGTAGATTATTCCGGCCATCGATCAATGAAAGCTTTTCTTATCAGCACCCCAAGAATATTTCACTTTTAATCAATTTTCGATCTGCGTCAGAGTATAAAGACACTTCTTTACTCACGGGTCAAGAGTTAAGGCTCGTTCAACTGATTGAAATGAGTGACTCAGACGACTCGGGTTTCAGTCACATTAGTGCTCAAGCCATTATCTGTAGTATGCAAATCATATTCGGTGGTGTCATTAAAATTAGCTCAAAATATGTGACTGTACATTCTGTACATGCTTGTATCGAATGAGTGAAATTCTGTGAATTTGTAGATGTTTTTGTTTTAATTTTATTGTTTGTATTTAATTGGTAAGCTTTTATCGAAGTTCCACATTTTTTGGGTATTTAAATAAAAAATTTTTTATTTTTTGGCACATTTTGTTATTTTTCTTTGGTTTGGATTTTTCGTTTTTGAGAAATATTCTTACCGATTTGTAATTATGTTATAGATTTGTATAAAGTTTTAAGTCATTAAGGTAACCTTAACGTACAACAAAATTATTAATTAATATTAACAGCTCTTCTTAAGTCTAAGATGAATCATGGTTTTACAATAATAAACAACAACAAAATCAAGAAATAATGGCTTACTTGAAAAACCGATGCTTGGAATAACTTAGCAGATCAATCATGTATTATTAGATTATCAGATATGTTATGTGTTATATGATATGTTATATATGGCTAATAAATATACCCTTTATTCCAGGTTGATCTGCCAAGTTAAATCCAAGGAAAACAGGCAAAAAATTGAAGTTTAAATGCCAGAAAAAGAGATACTCGTACGTATTTCAGTGGCACTATAAAATTCATTTTCTTTTGCTATAAAAAAAGGTTAATTGACCTCTAATTGCTTGGCGAATAATTTTCCGGGGATTTCCCGCTGTCTGCCGCTGCTGCCGCCGTTGCACCACTAAAGCAGGAATCCAACGATATCGTCATCGGCATCCGCTGCTCCAGTTCGCTGCTGTTCCCGCTGCCGCCGCAGCTCGCAGCGATGCAGTGCCTCCAAATAGGGCTGCAGCACCGACATCGTGCGTCACTGGTGGTGTTGGTGTTGGTGTCGATGAAGGGGCGTGGCAGGGGCGTTCGCATGTAGCTGGTGTTGCTGATGTTGCTGCTGCTGCTGCTGCTGTTGCTGCTGTTGATGTTGCTGCTGTTGCTGCTGCTGGTGTTGCAGTTGCAGCTGCTGCGAGTGGGCGTGTGTGTTCAGAAAGGGTGTGAGCAGCTCCATGGGCAGTGGAAAGATGATGGTGGAGTTCTTTTCGGTGGAAATGCTGCTCAGGGTTTGCAGGTAACGTAACTGAAATAATAAAATCAATTAAATAAAAGTGACAAATATTATTTGTTAAATAAGATTAGCAATTACCTGCAAGGCAGAAGGACTGGCTGAGATGATCTCGGAGGCTTCGCGTAGAGCTCTCGAGGATTTCATCTCACCCTCGGCGGCAATCACCTTGGCCCTCGCCTCCCTCGCCGCCTCCGCCTCGGCGGCCATTGCCCGCTGAAGAGCAGTGGGCAGGGAAACATCCTTGCTAGAATTGGAGCATCAAATCAGAACAAACTCAAATCACAACAAGCCCGCAAAGGGAACGCCCCACTCACATCTCCACCCGTTCCACCTTAACGCCCCAGGGATCAGTAGCCTCATCCAGGGACATCTGCATCGTGTGCGAGATGGTCTCGCGTTCGGTAAGCAACTCGGAGAGATTCCTCGTTCCAAGCACATTGCGCAACGTGGTGGCCGCCAGGAGACTGGTCGAGTGGCTATAGTTGTACACCTGGATGACCGCCTTGAGGGGATCGCTGATGCGGTAGTAGACCACCGCATCCACAGTGACCGTCACCGAGTCCTTTGAGAGCACTTCCTGCGGGGGAACGTCGAAGGAGACGGTGCGCAGGTCCACCGGATAGTAGTCATCCACGCAGGGCAACACAAAGAAGACTCCGGGTCCACGGGCTCCACCGCTGCGCAGTCGTCCCATCCGGAAGATCACCGCCCGCTCGTATTCGGAAACCACCTTGAAGCAGATGAACACCGAGATGGGAAAGGTCAGCACCATGATCAGCACGGAAACCACCGTGGCCAGGATCTCCACGCAGCCCATGTCATCGTTTTCAGCTGGAAAAGAATTTATGAGAAAATTTAATGTTTTAGTAAAAATATTATTAAAAATGTATAGTATAGATATAATTTAAAATGAGCATTTTAGCCGTTTTATTTTAAGTTAAAGAATTCAATGTAGAAGTTTATCATAAGTTTATAATAAGATCAGAAATGTTTTAAAAAGTTTAACAACCACCGACTTCAAAAGGTTGCCATTGTTATAGATAGAGTAGCAATTAGTTTTTTGTTTAAAGAACTCTTCTCTAAACTTTAAGCAATGTAATTTAAACGAATGTAATGCTATTTAATCTTATGTTGTTTTAACTAATGTAAGCTGACAAATTCGTGTACATATTTATAGTTTTATTTAGCTTCGAATCATACCAGTTTATAACCAGATGCTTAAATAATATTACTAAAAACAATACTTTCTAATAATGCCCTTGTTAATATCAAATTTATTTACTTTATTTTCGAGAGTGAACTCTAACAAGCGAATGACCCAATTAATTGTTTATCCAATCACATCTTTTATTATCCTTTGGGAATAACGTTCTGCTTGTTTGATTTCCCCAGGGGCTGATTATGAAAAGTGGTTTCGGCGATGATCGCCTTCATTGTTTCAATTGCGCCAGCATATTCCACGGATCTGTTCTGGGGGCAATTAACTTGTACAAATTGCTTTTGATCTAGTACAAATGCTATAAATTCCATAAATATCCCAAATGCTTTCCATGGCTTTTGGTTGCTTCGAGCGCTTTTTTTTTATGCTTGACTAACTAACTGCATGTGCTGGGGATTTTTGTTTATGGGTTCAGCCGCCGTGTTCGTGAATATGATCTCTGATTTCGGATTTCTGATTTCTGATTTCAGCTGTTTGACTTCTTGTTTTCCCTTCCCGATTTTTTTGTTTTGGCCCTCGCCACCTATTTTGCTGGCAGTATTTATTTTCAGGGCCGCCGTGTTTACGTTCGAGTTGGGGTGTTGAGTATTTCGCTGCTCTGTTTATCTTACGAGTTTCGACAATACGACTTATATCACCGATCCGCACCGGTGCCTTCGGATTATCTCTATTTGTTTTCATATGTCGGCGCTCAGTTTATATTGCATACTTCATAGGTGGTCGACGCGAACGATATGATTCAATAGGAGGAGCAGCCATGGACTCGATACGATCCACAATTTCTTTTCTTTTGGGGAACCATCGCCATTCGCTGTTCAATGAAATGATTCATGGGTATCTGAATCGCCTCACCTCGCGCCTTGATTATGATTTTATATCGCATTAATCGCACATTTGCCCGAATTATGAATTATGAATTATTCTCGGGGCACTAGAGGTTTGGTTTGCTTGTGAGGTCGGTCATGTGTGCGCTATACTATACTATAATGTGGAAAACTATTTGTATCTGGCAGTCAATGTGCGTGTATTTTTATGAGCTAAACAAAGCGCCAAGCGAATAATTCGGCTATTTGCATCTGGAAATCCGGTCCAGAAATCAAGGAAGTCTCGCCACTTTTTTAATCGGGCTAAAAATATATCTTCTCCATTGAATGAAATTTTCATAGTTTTCATAAACAAACAGTACCACATGAAAATAATCCTATTACAACATTGTTTGAATTAAATGAACGAAAAAAAATAAAGCAAAAAAATCATTCTATGGTAAAATTTGTTTTCTTTTTTTAAACATTTGTTACAACCAAAAAAAAACCTTAACCTTAAAAAATTTAAAAAAAAGATGGTTTAATATTGAAATTCTTTTACCTATTCTTAAAATAAGATTAAATAAACTAATTACTTATTTTGTTTAGTTTTATGTTTTTTTTTGTCAACACTCTTTTTAATTGATTTTCTTTTATGAAGTGTTTGGAAAACATTCAATAATTTAATAAAGGTTATGTACACTCCTAATTCAATTTAATTCTGTTTTTAAATTGTCACAGAAAAAAATCTATTTAAATTTATTTGATAAACAGAATTGATATAAAAATGTATAAGTTTAAGTCATAAATAAAATGTTATGTAGTCAAGTCAAAAAAGGTAGTAAACTCCTCTTGGTGTCTTACAGGTTTTGAGTCCCTGGTAGGGCAGTGATGCGGGTGGCGGCGGCACGTGGATCGCATGCTGCGAGGACTGGTGCTGCGGGGTGAGGGGAAAGGTCTCCGTCGAGGAGGAGGCCTGGACACCACCCGATCCCGGCGAACCGATGTTGAGGCGCGCGCGGTGCTGATGCGGCGAGGCAGGATGCATTTCGAGTCGGAGGGTATCGGATCGGATTGGATTGGACCGGATTGGATTGATTTCGAATCCACGACTGGTCCGAATGGAAACTGGATGATCGAGAACTGCACGCGTCCAGCGCACGTTTTCAAATGAGCACGCCAAGAATCAACAGCGGCAAACGCAGACGCAAAGACAGGAAACATCATTCTGTTCTCCATATTTGTATACCGACTATGGAATACCACTTTGTGCCACGGGAAGAGTTGAGTACGTATGAGTGATTTTTTCAAACTGAAGTTGAAAACTTTAAAAAATAACACTCATACGTAGAGTTGCCCTATACTTCAGTATAGATTATTCTCCAAATATTTACTATTTTTTTTTGGTAAATTTGTTTTTTATAAGATAAATTACAAATATTATATACAATTGAAAAAATAGTTTTCTTTTGATAATAAGAAATGTTTTGTTTCTCAAATTTTTAGAATACCGAAATAATATATGTGGATACATATTTTTCAAAAGGTTTTAACTAGTATAACGTAAACTTATAAATGTTTTTTATATATTTAAAAAACCGACACACCCTGGACTTTTACATTTCAGTGGGTATTACTAACTTTATCCTAGAGGTATGGTGGCAGCAGTCGGCGGCAGTCGTTCGGCTCATTTCACACATTTTCGTGGCCGAACAATTTTCCAGCTTTTCCGCCTTTCCCTTCATACATACTATACACACAATAGATCGTTTTGTTGGTAATTTAGTTCGTTTGTTTAAATTATTGAAATGAACTACGAACAACTTCACAGATGGAGATCATTTATAAACCACTTCATTGAGAGCATTCGGCCGTTCTTCGCTTGTTTTTGTTTTCGAATGGAATGCTTTTGGGGATGAGGTGTGTTTGGAGCCTTCTCGTTGCTCATTTGTCTAAATCAAGACCGGAGGAGCAGGCGCTGGTGATCTATTATCGCCAAAGGTCAGAGCTCCAGCCGAAAAAGCAAGCGAAAGAACCAGACTCCTGGGATTTCATATGGAATGAATTGTGTCTTCCCGCACATAAAACATAAATGAAGACATTAATGGGTTAACCATAAGATTTACTACAACAGATTTAAGCACAGCCCCATGCTCAATAAATCATGATCCCCTACCTTAATTTTTGAAAGTGTTTTTAAATTTCTTTGAAGAAAATAAACAGTTCTGCACAGTGCATGAACAAATAAACAGACAATTCGGATATTAAAATTAATATAGTAATGGGCTCTTAGCTAATTTGATTATAGCTTAACTTTTATTTTTTAAATTGATTTTATTTAGTAGAAAGTTTTAAAATTGGTGGTTGTTGTTGTTTACTACAAGGGTAAACTAAAGCTGAATTTTATTATAATTAATAAACTCGTTTATAAGGGTGATTAATATCACTTCCAGTTACGCAATATTCTTCTTAGAATTTGTAGCGTTTTATAGCTTGTAACTGGTACAACAAATGCTTATATTACTTTTATAAATATCGGTTTCGTTAACCAGTTTTTAAATTTCTCGGAATTGGTTCTAGCACCTTTTAAAGTTACATAAAAAGAAACACGAGTTATTAGAATCGAATTATAATTTGTTTAAAGCTGTATTTACTTTTTGCGTTATAATAAAAAAAATTTTAAGTCAAACAAAAAAATCCCTGGAGATAATAATAAAAATAAACTAGAGTATACGGTAATATTGAATAGAACCTATTTGTTGATATTTGAATAATTTCACAATAATTAAAAATATGTATATATGAACTGATATGAAGTTAGTTCCCGAGATTAACATATGAATTCCACAGACTAGATTTACACTGAAAAATTTTGTTCTATCAAAAAACCCCCAGACTGAAATTCTAAATCCGCCACTGAGTTATCACATAAAAATAATCAGCTGATGAAATTTGAATTAAAAATAATAATGCATGAACCACTTTTTCTGGAATCAGCAAATTGTGTTTATAAAGTTGTGCAGCTGGTGATCATGTATAATTATTCTTAAGAAATATAAGTATTCCCCAAGGCTTTCTGCTAAATGAATGGAGTTGATTTTCAAGAAATTCGATTTGACTGCCTTTCGCTTTATTGTAATTGTTCCTCTGATAACAACAAGAAATATATGTATACATATATATCGTTATGCAATAAATTTCCTTGATTCAGGCCGATTGCTTGTGATTTTTTGGTTTCTGCTGCTTTCATTTTGAGTAAGTGTTGTTGCGTAAAGTAAATGCGGAGAGTTCATCTCGTAAGCTTCGAAGAATGAGAATATCATGTGTAAAGGTATATATGTATGTATGTATAGAGCTGATTCGTAAGGCACATTACGGCTAGATTGTGGATACAATGAGTGATCTCTAATTGCGCTGATCGATGAGAGTCCGATTCGATTGATCGTCATATACAGCCTCCAATATACAGCAGCTGGTGTACATAGTCTTATGTAGTTCTACAGGGTATATATGTATAAGTGTCGGTATCAATTTGATTGTTAACAAATGCTTGAAATAAATCCAAATCCTTAAACTTAAATGTTCGCTCGAGTTGACGCGTAGAAAATCAGTTGGTTTAAATTCAATTTTGGCCGCTCGGAAGGGTCTCCTTTTCCTAGCCACGCTACAAAGCAAATCCCTTACTCCTTTAATTGACTGAGCAATATCCTAGTTTTGTGTCCATCGTCCCGCTGCCTCCTCTCTCACTCTTTCTTCGTTCCGGAGAACTTGCATTGGATGCAAGCGCACCCAGTCGATGTATGTATACAACTTAAACAACTAATAATCATCCGAGCGCACCGGAGGAGGAGCAGCACCCGCCGCCTGGCTGTCGTCCGCGCCTTCGTCAGTCGTTGTACATGCCGTCCACGAGGAAGTCCATGCGACGGTAGTGCCTGGTGCTCCACATGTCACGGAATCGGCGATACATGATGGTCACCACGCCGATGGCCAGCGGCACAGTGAGCAGTACGGTCACAATGGGCACCACGTATCCGTTGTTGCCGCGATCGGCGAGGTTGCTGCCGGTTAGGCCCTGCACCAGCGGCTCCGAGGGCGTGGCCGGTGGCTGGGCGGGAGTGGCCTTTGTGCCGGGCTTCTCCTGGCCCTTCTGCTGCTCCACCTCCTTCTCCCATTCCTGGTGCACCTCCGAGCTTACCACCACTGTAGGTTTCTTGGGCTTGGGAGTGGTTGTGGTAGTGGTAGTGGTTGTAGTTGTAGTTGTTGTGGTGGTAGTGCTGCTGCTGCTGCTGGAAGAAGTGGCTGTCGAGGACTTGCCCTTATTGGTCACATCTTTCATTGACTGGCCCTCGGTGACTATGGGTGATCCTGCAACAGGCTTGGCTGTGGTTGTGGTCGTGGTAGAAGTGGTCGCATTTGTGGTGGAGGAGGAGCTGGCCGTCTCGTTTCCTTTGGTTGACTTCTGCTCCACCGATGGTTTTGATTGGGGCACTGCCGTATCCGTACGCTTCCTATTTTTGCCTGCACTTTCCACCGGCGCCGTCTTGTTGGTATCCTTATCCTGATGCACTGGTTGCTGCTGCACTACTGGATCCTTGGGTTGGCCTTGAACTGCGGCGCCTGGAGTCCCTGATGCTGATTCCGATTTGGATCCGGTGGCCATCAAGGCGGGGGTTCCCGACGTTGAGTCCTTGGCGGCGGTTTCGACCACCGGCTTCTGCTCGCCGGCAACCAGAAGCAGGCCGCTCAGCAGCCAAATCAGCGGGAGCAGCTTCATTGTCGCTTGATTCCTAATTGAAATGTCGCTTATCTTTTTCGCATTTAGTTGTGCGAGTGCTGCGCCAGTGTGACCGCGTGCAGTAATCGATATTCTACCGATAACATATTGACAGTGCTGGTTAAAGTAACTGAAGTTTGAAAACGCTATGATCCATAGTCCTCTTTTATTTAGGTTTTGGTATCTGTAAAGCAGGATTAAGGTTTATTAATATTGTAGTGTTACTCATAAATCTTTATATTTTCAGTCCTAAGTTACATGTTAACTCATGCAAGGTAAAGTATGTGCTTTAGTTTGTTAAAAATCAAATGAACTAAATTATATAGTTATTATTATTACCTGCATTTAAAATCCAATTGAAATTCACTTTATTCCAGACCAAGATTCCCAAATGGTTTTGTTTGCAAGGTAAAATAGGACTAAGTTAATTGAATAACCATAAATAAGTAGAGTCCTCTCAGCACTGTTGATTGAATCGGGTGGCCACGCTGTTCGCTGGCTGCTGACGTTGCCACTTGCCAGCTGAGCCCCATCCGTGTGTGTTTATGCTTGTGTGCGAGTGCGTGCGTGGGTCTGCCGCATTAAATTTGGATTTAGCTCCGATTTGGACCCGGATCTCGGACTAATATGCGACTGGACGTGTTCTGGACTCTCCTAGCCTGCCTCCTGCTAGGAGGGCATGGCACCCACGCCTGGCATTCCGAGGAACTGGAAATCTTCGATTTGGTCGAGGAGGTGAATCGCAACTTCTATGAATTCATGGGAATCAATCAAACGGCCACTGGAGCTGAGATAAAGCGCGCCTTTCGCACTCTGTCCATTGTCCTGCATCCGGACAAGAACCCGGCCGAGGATGCCAACATCCAGTTCCGCAATTTGGTCTCCATCTACGAGGTCCTCAAGGATCCTTCGCGACGGGAGAAATACGATAGGGTGCTGAAGGAGGGCATGCCAAACTGGAAATCGGCCCTCTACTATTACCGCCGGATGCGAAAGATTGGCCTCTACGAGGGCGCCTTCATCCTCTTCCTGATCACCACCGTGGGCCAATACCTATTCGCCTGGGCCGCTTATCTCGAGAAGAAGTACACCGCCGAACAGGTCTTTGGCACCAAGTTAAAAAAGCTGCAGAAGAAGAACAAGAATATTGACATGGATGTAATCCTTAGCGAGATCCCAATGCCCTCGCTGCTCAACACGCTGCCCATCCAGATCCCATTGGCCCTGTGGAACCTGCCGCGCACCATCAAGAACGGATTCAGCAAGGCCAACGAGCTCAAGGAACTGGCGCTGGAGAAGCGCAGACAGTAAGTTGGACACGCACTACGGATATTGGCATAGTGGGTTGTTATTTTGCTGCACACATTTAGCTTATGTGGTTCTCTTTTCATTTTTTGTTTAACATGGTTACTTTGCAAGTCACAGACAATCTCATGGGTGATTTCGGGTTGAGTGAGTATGGTCCACGTAGCTTTCTTATTTATAAAGATACTTCTGTTTGTTTTTGATAAGTAATGCAATATTTCACAAGGGTTACGTATAAAAGGTATTTTAGTTTCCTTAAAAGTCTTTGCCGAAGTTAGTAAACTAAGCACACAAAGAATTTATATCTCGCATTGCTCATATCCGTTTGTGGTTGCATCAGATTTTAAGAACTTACATTGCCACTCTTATCATACTCCCATTTCTTAGTTTATTTATTGTATTCAGGCTGTATATTTTAAAAGTTATATGTTCTCAGTTCTGTTTGCTATTTCATTTGTGGTTTCAAGCAGTTTTTGTATATATAATTTGAATGAGTAGCTAAGAAAAAGTATGTATCTCATTTTATAATCTAAAATTCCAGACTACAAATCAAGCAAATAAGCTAATGATAATCGCAAACCAGAAGTCTCAAAGCTATAACTTAGTTATAAATTGAAAACAAAAGGGAAAATAGATAAGTCACGATGCAAATGCAAATATTGACTTTAATGAAAGACACTTTATTTTAACATCCGTCATAACATGTTGATATGGCTCCAGATAAGGTGTCCAAGTTCGATTTCATTGAATTGCTAGCCGGTGAAATTATAGGAGAAATGTCGCTATAGCTTTGCTGAATGAATTCTTATCGATTCATCTTTTTTTGCAATCGCAGAGAGCTGGAAGCCGCCCGACGCCAGGAGGAACTGGAGCGCGAGGCCGAGGAGCAGGCGCGTCTGCGCAAGGAAAACAAGGAGAACCTGCGAAAGCGCAAACAGAACAGCAAGGCGCCGGAGAAAACCGAGGAGGAGCTGCGCGGCTATTCGCAGATTCAGGCACGAGAAATCAACGATGACGATGCAGTGCGTCCGGCTTCCCAGAAGGTTAAATATGCAGTTTCCTAAGGAACACAATGATATATATGTTCAAACCTGATTTACCAATTGCACGGTTTTACAGAGCACCGTAAGCGGCGGCTTTTGGACCGACGAGGATCTCACCGAGCTGATTCGTCTGGTAAAGAAGTATCCCGGTGGAGCTGGCAGCCGCTGGAACACCATCGCCGAATCGATGAACCGCAGCGTCCAGGAGGTCACTTTCATGGCGGCCAAGATGAAGGAGAACGGCTACCGCATTCCCGGCCAATCGGACAGCGTGGCTGAGAATCTCGTCCAGGAATCACAGCAGGCGCAGCGCAAGGAGAAGGTTAAGAAGTCGGCGACTTCGACAGCTGCTGCAAGCGGCAGTACTCCGGCGGAGAAGAGCATGCTAATTCCGGAGACCAACTGGACGCAGGAGCAGCAGCGCGCCCTGGAGGCGGCAATAGTCAAGTATCGGAAGACGGCCGGCGGCGATCGTTGGCAGAAGATCGCCAACAGTGTGCCGGAGAAGACCAAGGAGGAGTGCCTGGTGCGCTACAAGTATCTCTGCGAGCTGGTCAAGACGCAGAAGCGCGCCGAGGAGGAGGCCAATGAACCGGCCGACGAGGAGGCGGCGGCCATCGAGGAGGAGCTTCCGGAGGAGCAGACGCCAGCGCCTCCGGAACCAGAAGCGCCGCCAGCTGCCAAAAAGCTGAGCAAGCGAGAGCAGCGGCGCCGCAAAAAGATCTGTCCAGCGGCGAGGACTCGGATGATGCATATCAGTACGAGATTAGTTAGTCGGATACACCGAATCCGTTGTCCTCCTGCTTCGGTAACTCCTCGCGTGGCTCAAAACCTAGACTTAACTGAATTTTTTTATACTTTGCACAAAAGACTCTCTGGCATGGCATTTTGGACCTCTTCGATTCTTATCCGTGGCCCGATCCTGTGCCCCGCACCTCCCCTTCCCCCTTCCATCCCCGTGTGTAGCGCTTACCTTATGTTTTGTACATAATTCTATATTGTAAACATCTAAATGTCGATTAATTCCTTTGCTAAGTAAACGAAATGTGGAAGGAAATTTAAATCCATTGACTTTTTTAATTGTTTTAATGGGAAAACGTAATTTGATAATGTAGCAATAAGAGGCTTATGTATCTTTATATATCATATATAAATTCTGTAATTTGAGAATTATTCAAAATCGTGATTGGTTTTTATATTATTTTGTAGTGATAGGGGATTTTCAGTTGTAATTTGTTGGGGAATTTTATACATACATAGACTTAGGATTTTTGCAATTTTCTCTTTTAAAAAAATATATTTTCTTAATTTTTTTGAAAAAAAAAGAAACTTAGGAAAACAGATAGAAACCAAGCAAGACAAAGAGCGGATCGCTGGTGAGCGTATTTTTACCGCTATCCTTTCTTTCTCCTTCTTTATCTCTTCTTCTTCGAGTTTTCTTTGCGAGCACACGTACATGAATTCGCGCTGCGCCAAAAATTAAAGTTATTTAATTTTCCACTTGTTTCGGTTGCAAAAAGTGTTAAAAAAGCCATGATCTTTAAGTTAATGGATGTTCGCGAAGTTGTGATGTAAATTCGGATCGATATTACATGATTTAATGGTAAAAATCGTTGAATTCTTGCAAAGGACGCCCCGCAAAAAGTTGATCGTGTGGGTAAGCGTTAAAAGAAGTGCACACATGCATACAAATATGTGTACATATGTGTTAGTTCCTAATCTCATGAGCAATGGTTTTTTTCCTCTCTGCACATTGAATTTGATGTTTCTATTGTGCATTTTGTCTTTAATGATAAAGTATTGATAAAAAAAGAATGTTAATAAAGTGCTGAACACTAAGGTAAGTGAGAGCAAATTTATTTTTAAATTTACATATGTATATAAAATAACATTGAACTTTAATGAATACATATGTACACCAAATGAAAAATATTCTACTATTAACCAATCTCTAAAGAATTTGATCAGTTAATTCAAAACAATGGTGTTTTATTTATTACAAGTAATATTTATTCAGTGAAACGTATTTTTCTAGCGTACTTATGCCTTGAATTTTTATGACTAATAATTATAGGATTAAGCTAAAAGTACAAAAAGTACATTTTTCGATTAAATTCAAAATTGGACTTGCATATGAAAAAGTACAACAACACCATCAGGTTTTTCAAACTGCGAACTATAATTACCTTTCTAATCCTTCGTTCACGAACACGGCTTTAACTTAAATTGCAGCTTTAAAGCAATCAAAGTCAAGCGCTAACCAATTATAATTCTCAGTTGGCTTGAACCTGTCAGGCTTCAAAGAGGAGTTTCCTCAGATTTATTATTTATAAAAGTTAAGTTGGGCACTTTCGGCGGTTGCTGTTGATGGCTAATGTTTAATCAAAGATACAACTTCATTATTTATTTGGCTCGCGGATTACTTGGCTGTGCGTGTGTATGTGTGTGTGTGTGTGTGTGTGTGTGTGCGGATAACCTTGGAGCAATTGGCTTTTAATTACTCCCAGCCAACATTTGATAGTTATTGGACTATGACTGTGACTATGAATCCGGTCTAGTTAGTATAAACTCGATGCGACTCCTCCTCCCAGTTTGGTCACTATTCGTGTTTGCATTGAACTTAAAACGCTCGTGCACTAGAAACATCAGCCGACTTGGCCGACTGACTGTGACTTCGTCAAGACCCAAGACTCAAGACTCTAAGCCTCTAAACTCAAGTGTAGGCAGAACTTGGCAAGTTGTCAACGCAACGCAGGTTGCAAGTAACTAACGTTCGGGGCAGTCGAAACGAAAGCTGTCAATTTGGAAAACGTTTCAAATCGGATTACCAGATGAATACTCTTTTTTTTTTTGAGTCTCAGTTGTGAATTGGATATTAAAAGCTACTGCAGTAATCAGTGTCTTAAAAGTATGCTGTAAAAATGTATACTTTGAAGATCACCTTAAGAAATCGGACAAGCTGGTTTATAAGATTGTTAAAACGAATCCACTTCAATAATTGAGTACAGATCAGATTTAATACAACTAAGTAGCTCGGGAAGTTAACTTCTTTTTACGCAGTTCATAGATGTATTGTTAAGGAAGGACTGCTATATTTTTTAAATCTTCCTTATGACTGTAAGGTGCTATTTTACAAACAATTTAGTTTGTTTTTTTATTGGCATAATCCTTTTAATAGGCCTTATCCAACGTTAATGGAAAATCGTTTGGGCCTAGTTAGTTCCTAATTGCGTTAGCTTTATTAGGCGATATAAAATAAATGCTTTTTGTAGCATAACCAGACCGACAGGTCTCCTCGTTGCAACTTAAGCTAACAAACACACTCGCCAAAGTGCAAAGAGAAAAAACAATAAAAGTGGAAAACGATTTTGAGCGGTTTGTCAGCGATTCAAGGGCGACTTGAGTTGCATGTGCGTACGTATCGTTTTTATTATGGCCAATGCCAGACTGACTGCATCTGCGGTTCGAGCACTTAATTTCCATTGAATTTCCATTTGGCGGCAATTGCCATTTCGCCGACAAATCGCTGACTCAACTCTGGCCTTCAACTCAAAGTTCAAGCTGCAAGTTCACGTGACGTCACGGCCACACGGCCAGGTGGGTCCACCAATTTATTCTAAATTGTAACTCAGATTCTTCGGCGATGGAGGGAAAACCCGGCGAGACCAGCGCTGAAAAGTCAGAACCCAGAACCCAGAACGAGAACCAGTTTTTGGCCATAAGCGGCTGTTAAGACTGCCCCGCGCGATTTGCGCGCGTTTCTCGGCTTTTAGCCGACTTGGCGACTATATCGATATCTCGCGAGTCGAACTCAGTCGCAAACGGAGCGCCAGTCGAGGCGGTTCACTGAAAGCCACTTAGCATCCCCGGCACAAAACTAATTTGCCAGATCAAGCGCGAACCTAGAAACAACATCTACTTCACTTTTTTGTTACCCTTTTTTTTTCTGTTGTTTGAGTTTGCGAGTTTTTCACGTGGAAGAAATGACCATCTATGGACTGTTGGTGCAGATCATAATCGTTTGTAACTAGCTGCCCGAAGAGTCCCACGTCCGAGCAGCGATGGCACCGCCTCCAGAGCAACCAGAGGATGATATTATCACCAAGGTGAGGACACAACTACATAGTTGCAAGTTGGTAAAGAAAAAGTGTGGACAAAAGATCTTCTTTTGATCCTCAGTGAGTATTTAACATAATAATGACATTTTGCAAGAATGTTGTTAAGAATGAAGTCATCAAAAGTCATATTTTACAAGATCAAAGTTCTAGGAAACGTAGTTGCAAGTAAAACTCATAAATATTTTTACAAGCATTTTGATAAACCAGATTTTGTATTTAGCTTCGTAGAAAATGTTCTCGCGTTCTTAGAATTCACGTGATATATGCGATTGTTTACAAAATCATTTCTGTCGATAATGCTATGTAAACCAAACTTTCTAAAGTCGCAAATTGGAGTATTGGAAATATCACAAGTCACTTGGCACAGAGTATAATATTTACAATTTTAATTTACTTGGTAAATTCAGCTTAAAGCAATGGGTTTGTTAAGAATTTTAATAATACACCTTTTTTCATTGATAGCGATTTCTGTTATAGACTTTACATTATTATTAGCATTATCTGGGAAAACTTAACAAATCTGGGTAGGGTTGAATTTTATTTTTCTGTTATAAGCTTTTTTTATATTTATGTTATATTTTAACAGTTGTTAGGTATTCAAAATTCAATATAGGACAGTAATAATTTGATGGCACTCCAGGGTACTCCACCTTCCATCCGATCCCCAATCATCTCGTGTTTATAGTTATAATTTAGCGGAAATTCGCTAATAAGCACATGCAGAGCATCGGCTAAGATGAAGTTAGCATTGATCGGTGGGATCGCTAATTCGCCGAGAGGCTATTTCCAAAAACTGAGCTTGTGGGGCACGGTCAAGGCAACGTTTTTGAGTTTGAATAGTGAATAGATGATAAAGCAATCAATTTAGCTGGTGCGGAAGTGGAATGTGGTACAAACCAGTTGGCAAAGGGCTTTGGACGCTTTGTTTTTTTTCTTTATTTTTTTTTTTTTTGGGCTCACAGTATTTCCCGTTTAACTGTGGTTACAGCATCGCCAGTCGTTTGCTAATTGATCAGGTCTCTATAATTATAAATCCAAACATCAGTGAATATATAGCAGTTGGTGTGAGTGAACTGCGAATGCATTTTGTGAACAAAAGGTTAGTCAAGGTGAGTTCACCTCTCACAGCACAAACTAAACCTTGGGATGAACTTTTGAACTATAACTTTGGAAAGGTTTTCTTGTATCTTAAATTTTGTATAACCTAAAATACAATGGGGCTTAAACTATGCGATTCGAATAATTTAGATACAATTTAATAATACAAAGAGTATATTCGTTCATTTTGTTAATAAAAAAAGTGTGCTACTATTTGCTTTTCTTCTTAATTAGTTTTTTATTTAGACAATTAGCTTAATTAGCGATCAGCAAACGAAGGTTGCAGTGATCTGTGAATGAAGCCCCACGAAAATAATAACAAAAAACAATTTATAGGCAAAAAATTTGCGAGCTGGTCCGAAATAGTGTGCATATTTTGAGGGGCAATTTTTCGTGGGGTTAATTAGGTTTCGCTGATCTCCGATTGTGTCGGCGATCTAATAAAAGTATACAATTTATCCAAGCTCCTTCACTTTCCTTCTGCCAAATTGGCCCACCATTTATGGCCAAAAACACCTGGCTGCATTTTGCAATCTACCAGACACTGAGAAAAAAAACTTCACCTAGGAGTTCAACTAAAAACTATTCAAGGGTTCATTGAAACATTTGTATTTCCTTTGGTTTTTCTACTTTAAATAGTCTTTAACATATGAATTCTGTTAAATTGTTTTGTATTGCGATGGGATTATTTGAAAATGTAATGCAATTTATCGCAGTGCATCAACCTAAACGGTTTAACCAGGCCCACGAAATTAATGCTTGCCATATGCAGAAGGGGACATTGAAATATGGACCTGGGGCGAACGCCTCCTGCCATTCTCGTAAATAATAAACAATTGTTTTTTGCGGCCAAGAGATACAGATACAGACCGTGCTTATGGCGACTGCCCAGTTGCCCAGTTGAGTGCCCAGTTTGTCTAGCTAGCAAAGGAATATGATGACAGTCGATTTCCAGTCAGCTTTACCTCGACTCCAAGTCGAGTATCTCGCCGTATCTTTTGCCTTTTGCGCTCCAGTATCTTAATTGTTACTGTGCCCAACGTTGCGGAACGATTTGGTGGGGAAAATGGCAACTCTGAGTCTCAGAATCGGAAACAGAATCAAAAACAGTGGCAGTTTAGATTTAAACTAAAGGTGCTGGTTATATCAGACTTTAAAAAAAGCTGTGATTTTTTTTATATAAAATTGGTTGGTAAATCAATAGCAAAACAGCTGAAGAAACAATAATATCTAATCGATAGCCAGTTGACAGAACTTCCGCATACTTCTTTGTTGAGTTTTAAAGGCAGACAACCAGAAATATGCTTACTCATCATCATCGGACCAAAATAAATTAATAATAAACACTGAAGTTACAAAAGGAAGCCAAACGAGAAGCTCTTAACGCTCAATTTGGCGCTCCGCAGCTCGATTCACCGATCGTGACGCGTTCACCAACAACACCAACAACATTAACAACAACATTAAAACAACAATAATAAGTTGTTGGCTTTATTTTTCAGTTGGCTCTTTGTCGGCCGCTCCGAATGCCATGGAGGTCAAGTTCAGGGAACACCAGCTTATGGTTATTTTTCATCTTCTGCTTCGCCGAAGCTTCACGACTGCGATCGCAGGTGGAGGTGTCACAGTAGTGCTTACCCAAGCACTTAGATGCTTTGCCAATTGCGCTCGACGCCAATTGTTTGATTTTAATTGGCAGCCAGGAAACGGATGGCAAACAAATGACTGTCTTTTATTTTTGTTGCTTTCATTTAAACACAAATTATAATGAGGCAATAATAATTGGGAGTTGATTTGCGTTAGTTGGCGTTAGTCGTCTAACTTTGAATCTTCAATTCTAATTTTGGTCACCCAACCGTAACCAAAAACTTACCGCATAATATTTTTTTTTTTTTTTGTGATTTAACAATGTGAACTCATTCAACAATTCGGAAATACAACAACTGTTTAAATTTATAAATTTATTAGTTGATGTATTTAAATGTGCACAAGCACGTTTTGAGAAACTTAATCATTGGTGTAATTATTGTACTTATAACAATGTCACCGGTATGAAAAGTTCAGTGAACTAGAGGTCTTGCTGGTTAAAATTTTAAATTATACATAAATACGACAACCATCAACCATAAAACTTAAGTTAAAGCAAAGAACCCAAAAGCAGATTAGCCAACAAATAGTTTTAAAACTCCAAGGCGTTTTAAAGGTAAACAGGAATCGAAATACAATGTGTGATTGGTTTTAGAAGATGTGTCTTAAATAGTACATATAAATAGTACAATAATAATTATTTTTTTCCTGGGTAGTGAAACATATTTCCTGAATGAGCTACGAAATCGGCTTGCCAAGTTCCATCCTCTTTTGTCTCTGGTTTTAAAATAAATAACATAATTATGCGCGATTTCCATTAGATGGGGCATTGTGTTTGCTCTTTTTGTCTATGGCTTGTAATTACAAAAAGGTGATACATATTTTTTGAACCTTGAAGGTCGCCAGCAGGCGATACAAATTTATTTGATTTATGGTAATTAGCTGCGTGCACCTCGCCTAATTGCAGATACCCTCGATAATTGGATTCCTCAACTTGGACTGACTGCCGACAAATGAAGCTTTGGCTCCCCCACAATCAACCGATTCGATGATCTGACCTAGAGAGCCAAGGCTGAAGCGCTGAATCATGAGAATTATAGCTAGAAATCTTTTGTAATAGTTTTACGGTAAAGAAATGGAGCAAAATCCCCGCAAATAAACGACTTATGTAAACGGAGACTGAAGTTTCGTTTTTTTCCCAAACTGCCTGAAAGTCGGCAAGGGAATTGAAACGTTATTTGGCAGGAAATTGATGGGACAACACTGTTTAAGGTTTCTAAAGTGACAGGTGACATTTGGATTGTAAACGAGCTACTGGGTCCCAGAGAGAAATGGGGGAAAAGCAAAGTAGGTAATAATGACGGCACGCACAAAAAAATATGTAAAGCCGAGCGACGATCTGATCTGTGAATTGGCTACCATCCTAGGCTGGCATTCGAAGCGAAGACCCAGTGATCCATCGATAACCACACCAAGTGATCCGCTAAAGGATTACAGCCAGAGGGCTAAAACCAGGACGAAGACGAAGAAGACGAGAACGAAATCGAAACCGAAAACGAGGACGAGGACGAAGGCGAAGGCGGAGCGAAGCGGTGCTGAGAGTTGGAAGCTGTCCTCGAGGAGCTCTTCCCGGAGGCTGAAGAAATGTATTCGGCGGTAAAGCCGCTGTCCAAGTACCTGCAATTCAAGTCCATACGCATCTACGACGCCGTTTTCACCATCCATTCCAAGTGCACCGTGGTGATCCTGCTAACCTGTTCGCTTCTCCTTTCGGCGCGGCAGTACTTTGGGGATCCGATTCAGTGCATCAGCGAGGAGAAGAACATCGAGTACATACAGTCCTACTGCTGGACCATGGGCACCTACATCCTTAAGCTGGACAACAACTTTGGCGAACAGCAGCTCCAGCCGCCGCCAGTTCATCCGGACCAGGAGGCAATCACATCCGCTGACGAGTCAATATCATCCTCCCCTTCGACTGCAAGTGCCTTGCCGAAATCCCGCCAGAGGTACCGCTCGCGATCGAGTCTCCGGAGATTGGGGGAATACAATGAGGCCTATGCGAGGGCCATGTCGATAGCCGAGGGCGTGGGACCCGAGATCCGTGGCGAGTCGGAGCGGGAGTACCTGCGCTACTACCAGTGGGTCATCATCCTGCTGCTCTTCCAGTCGTTCGTCTTCTACTTCCCCTCCTGTCTGTGGAAGGTGTGGGAGGGCCAGCGGCTGAAGCAACTCTGCTCGGAAGTGGGGGAGGCACTCCTCTCCGAGGAGACCTACAACACGAGGCTCCGCCTGCTGGTCAAGTACTTCACCACCGACTACGAGGACATGCACTTCTGCTACATGGCCAAGTACGTCAGCTGCGAGGTGCTCAACTTCCTCATCAGTGTGAGTAGGGTTCGGTGCACACTGCATTTGAAAAACAGGTTGTAAAGCACACCAATATGGTCCCAAGGTGAATATTTCATTGAGTGCCAGTATTCAGCAAGTATTTTGAAAACGATTCGTTTTGAGATTCATCATCATCTTCCCCTTCAGTGTGAGTAGGGTTCGAGTTTCACTCGACACGTCCGACAACACTGGCGTACATTATACGTAAGACAAGGTTGTAAAGCACACCAATATGATTTCAAGTTCAATTTTAAAACACTTTCATAGTGTCCTTTGCTAGGCAATTAACTTCCTCATCAGATACATAAGATATAAATCAAAAATAAGTTCAGTCATTCGTTAAATTGAATCTTTTGAAACGAAGTATCAATTTTTAATGCATATTTTTGGGTTCTACCAGCTTGATCAAAATAAAAATTGTATGTTTCTTTACAAGAAATTAACTTGTTTAACCCATCAAAATAATTCACATTTAATCAGAAATTTTAAGTTTAAGATTTTCAACCACAGGTGGTGAACATAATCGTTCTGGAGGTGTTCCTAAATGGTTTCTGGTCGAAGTACATGCATGCCTTGGCCACCATTCCGTTTTACGACTGGGACCGCTGGAACCGCGTCTCCTCGAGCGTTTTTCCCAAGATCGCCAAATGCGAAGTGCTGAAATTCGGATCGAGTGGCACGGCAAACATCATGGACAACCTGTGCATCCTGCCGCTGAACATCCTGAACGAGAAGATCTTCGTGTTCCTGTGGGCGTGGTTCCTGCTGATGGCCCTAATGTCCGGACTGAATCTCCTCTGCCGGCTGGCGATGATCTGCAGCCGGAACTTGCGGGAGCAGATGATTCGCAGCCAGCTGCGCTTCATGACCAAGCGGCATGTGCAGCGCGCCCTGCGCGACTTAACCATCGGTGATTGGTTTCTGCTGATGAAGGTCAGCATCAATGTCAATCCCATGCTCTTTCGCGATCTCATGCAGGAGTTGTGCGAGCTGCGCACCTCCTCATCGGTCAGCACTTTGGAAAGCGCCGTCTAGTGTCCGATATTTCGCTCAGGATCGGGATCAGAAGTTCCCCAGACCCAGACTCTCCAGTTCGAGATCACCTCCTCCATCGGCTGCCCACGTGGATGATCCCCGCCCAAAAAGGCGGGACACGCCCATTTGACGTTGCCGTCGTTCGTTCATTCATTTCCTCACTGCCCCTTTCAACACATTGTGCTTGTGTCTCAAAAAACATGGCATCCAAAACACACCATCCATATTACTATTAATCTAAGCAGGACCTACATATTTGCCTAATGAAATCTGTTTTTAAAATCGAATACATTTTAAAATTTGTGGTTTCACTTTGTAAAATTGCTAATTTTAATTAATTTTCTAACAATCGATTAAAACACTAACCAATGAATCTCGATATTATGTTCATTTTTTATGATTTTCTTATGTTTTTTCTTTAAAGCTTCGAAAAAATTTCGATCCAGGAAATTTGTCTCTAAATATGAGCTATTGAACTGGGATTTGAAGTCGGGATGAATTTTATATAAAAATGTTCAAATAACGTCATAATTATAATTTGCTAATCCTTATTAACTCGGTTATATTTTTGGTTACATTTTTTTTGTCGTATTTTAAGCCGCTTCTTAAGTCGACACACGAAATGAGCTTTTGTGAAGTAGCTGCTACTGCCTTTGTTGTCTTTGCTTTTGGCATTTAATGTGCATTGTTTATAACTAGTTGCTGCCATAATTTCGTCATTTATATTTTTCTGCCGGGACGATCCCCACATCCCTTCAGTTTCCCCGCGATCGTTGGGGTTTCATTTCAGCATTGTTTTGCGCACATTAACAACGCAACTCGCTCGCGTTTTTGGCCGCCTTCGCCACGCAACTCGATTCACTAACACTCACTTGGGCGAATGAATGTAAATATTATTCAAAAGCCATTCGTGTGGCATTTAATATGCCCAGCACTCACGTGGGGGATATCAGTTGGGCACCCCACTGCCCAGTGACTCATTGAAGCTGATAAAAATATTTCCCAGAACGATTAACTTAGTTGATATACTCAAGCTGAAGAAAAGCCACTGCATTTCGTATCTGAAGGGGGTACTTTTTTAATCGAGATAGGAAAACAACATTTAACAACCGAAACATGTCAGTTAGGAAGGAGTGTGTGTACAATTCACGAGTTCTTATACATTTACTGCGATGTGAACAAATAATTATCAGAATTATTCAATTTGGTTAGCATGCATGCGAAAGAAATAAATGATATCAAAATCTTTTACGACAATCGTATACAAAATACAGTCAAACAAATTTAGATCCACAATTATTTGTTATATATTTGTGTTTAAGTACTGTTTAATTGCGTTATTTTTCGTAAAGTAAAAAACAGCATTTTACAAAATTTTTAAGATAAGGTTATTTAGAATATCAAATGAACCTCTATAAAATTAGAGCTTAGAAAATTTTTAAAAGGGTTTGCTTTCCATTCTTATTAAACATTGATTAGTGTGACTGAAATTTTTTTATAAATATTTTTTTTGGACGGCAATAAATGTAAAGAACATTTTTTCGCTCTGTATGGAAAGTTTTTTTCAAAAGGAATATATACCCAAAGTTGGTTCAATAAAGGCTCTTACGTTCTTTCCGAATCAGCTGTTGACTTATACCCATTTCAAAGTGGGTTTCGAAAAAGGGGGTTCTGAAAAAAAAGCGGATGCGTTTATTGGGGAGGCTGAAGCATGACTTTCATTATGCTGCCGCTATGTGGGGTATCACCTCGTCGAAATTGCAGCTCCCCGTTCCTCCCCCTGATTCACCGTTCGGTTTTTGGGGTCTCTCCCTTTCCGTTTGACGTTTGCGTGGGCTGTCGCTGACGTCGCTGCCGCTGCCGCCGCAAACAGCGACGCTGGCGTCGACTGAGGCAGAGGCAGAGGTGCGGCCCGGTGTTTCTTCAGCTTTCGGTTACATCTATTTCCATATCTATCGCACCCGTATTCCAATTCCCATTCGGTATTGTTTTGCGCCGCCGTTGTTTTGCTTTGGTTTTTCGGTCTTTGGTTTTCAGTTTTCGGTTTTTCGGTTTTCGTTTTTCGGTTTTTGGTTACTGATTTTTTGTTTATTTTCAGTTGCCGCGCTTCGGTGTTTTGTGTGCCACTTGGCCAGTTAGTCGCTTCGCTTTGTAATTTAGCATTTTAGTCGCCTGTCAACCGCCGTTCCCTTCATTCCGCTCTGCACTTTTGGTCCGCTTTCGGTCCGCTCCGGTCGCTTGGCTCCGCGGTTTCGTTAATTTGTTGTTGATTTTGATGTGATGTGCGCGATTGCTGAGCGCATTTAATTAAAGCGCGTACGTGACGATTGCAGCTGCAATTTCTGTTGCTGTTGCTGTTGCAATTGCTGTTGCTGTTGCTGTTGCAGTTGCATCTTCCGCGGCAATATCAATAGTGTTGCTATCAGTGGCAATTGCAATTGCTGTGGCAGTTGGCCAGTGAGTAATGCACTCGTAATTGGGTCTGCCGAGATACAAAATCAAGCGCAAACATCGACCGGCCAACAGACAATTATGGTCAAAATGTTAGGAGTCTAGTCAGGTTTCCCCAATAATATATGATATGCAAAAATTACTTACTATTATTATTCAGTTGATAACAATCAAATAAATCAATGAATATAAACAAGTAATTCAGTAAATCACACTCGGCAATTGCGCTGTTTAGAAATTGCAACCAGTTTTTAGCACATTTTTTGCACATTGTTTTTACTTTTTGTTAACGAGATTTATGGAAAAAGTAAAAACAAAGTGTTGGTTTATTTAAGAAATTATATCGAATCAGCAATCAGTGGTTCGCAACCGAAAAGTCGAGCAGTTGCATTATCACATTTCGAGCGTCAACAACTATTATTTTGACTGGAGGTGTGCATGTGTGTGTGGTACACACACCTCACACACACACACGCACACACACATGCGCGCGTGATAAGCGACAACTAAAACAACGATAGCAATAAAACCAACAACACAACGGTGGGCATTGATAAACAGCCCGCGACAAGTGTGTAAAACATTTAAGCGCACAGTGGTAATTGCATCATCTTCCCCGGGATTATTTACTCTTCGAATGTCTATTTTGGGTGAAAGTCGTGATTGATAAGCTCTTTTGTCTCCCGCTTATTTTTCTGTCTGTTTTGTCCAATTTGTGTCACTATTGTTCTCCATCTGGCGTCTGTTTTCAATATATTTACATATGTACGCCACATTGTTGTTTTCTCGATTTGCATGCGGACTAGGCGAAGAAAGCTTTTGTCGATGGTGGCAAACAAGGGGGGAAATAAATATAAGTCACCTCTCTGTCAGAAAACACCAATAATGAGGGTACAGTGGTCGCTTGGAAAATCAATATTTCAATATTTAATGGCTAATTCGTGTTGAAACATGTTTAGTAAGTCAATAAATCAAATGTGCCATAAACATTAACTCAGAAATTTATATAGCTCACTTTAAACAGGTTCTGAGCTAAATAGACACAAAATAGGGGGAAAAATGTTTATTTCCATAAGCATAAATATTGGACTTATAATGGGTCACTGCAGCGGAAAAAAGTTTAAGAGAAATCTAATATAAAACACAAAAACATGTTCTGGTTAGAGAATTCAATAAATTGAATACTTAAAGGTTCAATTAGTTTTCTTTTTAGTTAAAATTGAAAATTAAGCTCTTGTTTTGTATCCAAATAGTTCTTATATTAAGCTTCACTTAGTAATAAAAAAGTGACAAATCCTTAGAAATTGTTTCTAGGTCTAATGAATTTTTTTATATGCAAAAAAAGAGTTTTGAAGACTTTGGTTTGCTTTCAAGAACAAAATAAATAACAATTTACTAGCAAGAGTTGCATAAATCCCCCAACACTGATGGGTTTTTTGAGTAGAAATATCAGCTTACAGGGATTGAATTTAACTTTTTTGTTTATAGTTTTAAAGCTTTGCAACCACTGTGCGCCTAGAAGAGCACCCCATAAACAAAACAAAAAAACAAAAAACAAAAAGCCAACAAAGTCCGCAAAAAGAAGCAACAGCCAAAGCGGCAAGAAAACCGATTACGCCAACGAGCGTTGCCGTTGCCGCTTCTGCCGACGTCGACGTCGACGGCGCCGTTGGCGGTGACGCTGGCGCCCCAAGGCGGTAAGCAGAGCGGTGCGCCAAGCGATTTAGTTGGCCGCTGCTGCCCGAACGCGTCTCCCGTGCTTTTTTTTTACCCACTTTTGGTTCGATTTGCCATAGTCCCCATTCCACTGGCCTCGTGTAATTATGATATTTCTCTTGGTGTTACGATTTTATTATTGATTCGTTGGCCCCCGCAAAAAAACAGAAAAAAAAAATCCGGAACACTCCCCCGCGCAAAAAACGATAAGAAGTGGAAGGTGTTGCTCATGTCTTTGATTTACTTTCCACGTAAACTACACCGAACAAAATAATGCAATGATAATACTTGAACATCACAGAAGTACCAAATACAGGTCCTTTAACTAAAAACAAAACTGAAATCGGTCAAGGAAAAAAATTAAACAAGTGGTTAAAAAAAAAAAACTTGTTTTCTACGAACCTTAAAACTTTTGTGTGTAAAGCCTTAAATTATTAAAAGCTAACTAAAGGCTACAAAACTTAAGAAATCCTACGAGTCATGATTGTTAAAAACCACGTGATACGTTTTGCTTAATAATATCAAGTTAAGTTTGAAACTCAAAGAAAAAAATGCCAAATCCAATTTCTTTTCAGTGAAGCTCTCCCACACGAGAAAGATATAGAAAAACCAAAGGCAACAACTCATGAGTGTAAAGTGAAGATTGAAGAATTAGGAAAGAGTGAACCGTGCAGATTTCGAGTGTGTGATTTTTGTTGTTTGTTTTTTTTTTTTTTTGTTTTATAAGTGATCATGGCCGGCGATGCGGAGAACAAAAGGGGCTATCGCACCATATTTCGCAGCATTTCCCAGGTGTTCTACGCCAATGCCAAAAACTCTAGCAGTTCGAACAGCTCCCACAGTGTCTACAACAACAACAATTCGAGTAGCTACAACAACAATAGCGCTTGGAACATCAGTGAAAACAACAACGAGGGAATCGGAAGGCTGACAGTCACGCTCACAAGTATAACACCACCCACAGCCACATGGACATCGACATCGCCAACGATTTCCACGTACACCACAGCCTCATCCTCGGCATCCACAGCATCCTCGTCGCCACTGGCGAGCAGAGCAGCCAGATCGGCGGAGAATATATCCTGCAGCGAGTGTGGCAATCCAGATCCTCATCAGTCTCCCGATATAAATCCCGGAAAAGATCAACCTTTAACACCGCAGATAAAAGATGAAATCAGTCCGGATAGTACAAGCAAATATCTAGAA